CTAAATCAATGGCCCGTTGTTTATACTCTGCTCCCAATGGGTAGAATACATGGGTCTGGGAACTCAGAGGTGAAAGGAGAGGCCCAGCTTACCATCGATCCCAGTGATCCACTTTTGGAATGTGTGCTTCCTGTTCCCTCAAGGCTCTGCAAAGTTAGAGGTCCTGGTTCTCCAAGGGGGAACACTGCTACCAGGGGACACAGCAAGAATCCTATTACATTCTAAGCTATGGATGCCACCTGGATATCTCAGGTTTTACATGCCAGTGGATATGAAGAGGAATGAATCACTTCACAGGGGTATATGGCCTGAAATGTCAGGAGGACGTTCAGGGATTGCTATTACACAGTGGGAGCAGGGAGGAATATGTTTGGCACCCAGGTGATCCACTTCAGCATCTGTTGGTCCTCCTTGCACAACCATGCAAGGAAATGAACAAGTATAGCAGCCACAGCCTGGGAAGGGCATGAGGACCAAGGGCTCTGGAATCCCTCAAGGATGAGGGAATGGATCATTCAACAGGTAAGCCACTAAGCCCAAGAGAGGTGCTAGCTGAGGGTCAGGGGAATCTAGAATGCATAGTGGAAGAAGGAGACAATGCATATCATTTATTTATGCCACTTTTATCAACAGCATCAGTGGAGGATGTCATTCATCCCACTAACCATGCTCTTTCAAGTCTCCCCCAGAAGACAAGACCAATTACAATCCTGGAAATGCTGTTTCCAGATGGGGCGATCTTGCTTTAAGAAGCAAGTGGATCAGAGCAGTACAAGGAGTGGATTCTGTGCTCCCCTCGATCCTCACTCCCCACCCCCACTTTCAGGCCTTCCCATCTATTTCTCAGCTTCTGGGAAGATTTGCTGCTGAAGGTTCACAGCGCTGTCCCTCACTGGGAACTGGCCTCTGCAGCAGGGATTTGCCTTCCCCAAGATTATGCTTCCTCCCAGGGGGCAGCTTGTGACTAATGATTGACTGCTGTAAAAATACAAAAGCCTAAAAAAAAAAAATACAAAAGCCTGGATACCCCACCTCGATTAAGGTAACTCTGAAGGGTCATCCTTGCTCCAGAGCTCTCCCAGAGGATTGGCTGAGGTTTCTGTTGTGGCTGCATCATAGCTCAACCTTTCCCTCTTCTAAATCCTGCTTCCCTCACTCCTCCCCCGCAACAGGTGTTGTTCCCAAGAGCTCTCCCCAATAAATCTGCACACAAACCTCAGAGTCTCAGGGCCTGCTTCCAGGGAAGTCTAAGACAAGAAGCCACAATAAAAGATAGAGTTTATATAACCCACTATATACATAGATACATAATAACCTATCCTATATATGTAATATATTTTATATGACACCTCTGATGTTATACAGCAAATATAATACAGTATGGCTTATATAACATATAATATATTGCATATTACATACTATGTGTATATGTACCTAGAAGGTATATAAATATACATATATAATTGGAATGAAAGTTTCAGTAAACGATTACCTATACTACGTGCAACAGAGTCTGGTATTTCCTAGTCTATCTTATTCCACTTCATGAAGAAAAATATACACATACATATGTATTATACTATAAAGTTATTATATAGCAAATGTATGATATAGCATATGTCAAATATAATATATGGCATACATTACTGATTAAATTTCTTGGAGTAACAGTTCCACTAAATAATAATAATTCCACTTATTATGTGTAGCATATTCTTGTTATATTCTATTTTCATTTATACTACTGCATGAAGTAAATGAAATGCTGGTCACAAGCCATTAGGTGACCCACAGTTTGAAGGACATTGGACTAAATTATCTATAAAAATGGGAGATGATTCTTAACTCAGGGTTTGCAACTATAAGCCACAGAGGACTTGAGACCCAGGAAAGGGTGAGAGTAGTGAGGTTTGGTGCGAAAGGTGTCAGACTCCATCTAGGTGTACAGTCCATTACAGAGTTTGCAAAAACTCCTCCTTTATTCCAGGCTGAAATCCTCAAAGTCAGATGATACTTGCAATATCTGCAGGCAGGTGATGCAGAAGTCTCTGTTTCCCACGCTGAACCTGGTGTACACAGGCCCTTTGTCCATCCCACCCCATCTATAGTAGATCCTAAATAAATAGTTGCTAGATGGAATGGAAGAAAAGACTAGAGCAGCTGTTGGGATAAGGGGTGTTTCTGAGATGCAGAAGGGGAAGGGAAGAATCTTTCACTGAATTCAGCAGGTGCTCAATAAATGCTTGCTGGACAACTTAGAAAAAAAATGGAAAACACCAGAGTTGTAATTATTGAAAGAGGGAGGGTCTTACTGGTATTCAGTAGATAATTAATGAATGTTTGATGGGACAAAGAAAAATGCAGCAAAGAAACTTCCTGTAGTGTAGGAGTGGGGATGGGAAGTCTAAAGGAGAGTGATTACTAATATTCAGCAGGGGCCCCATTTAAGGTTTGTTGACTTCAATGGAGCAAATTTAGCCAAGAAGATGGCTCCTTTGTGAGTGGGTGCTGGTGAAGGAATTATTAGTACGCGTTCAAGAACTGCTTTATGGATTGATGGAGAAAAGAGGGATGCGGTTTTTTGAAAAGAATACAGTCAGAGATCAAGAAATGCTTTTTGGATTAACTGTGGGGGGGTGGTAGTGGAAAGAGTAGTTGGCAAGATGGCTACTAAGTGGGGGAGGGGACCTAGCCAGAATACAGTAGGTGCACATGGAACTTTATGGATTGTGTAGTGTCAAAGGTCAGATGGAGATTGTTGAAGGGTGAACTAGGGCTTCAAGAGGGGGAGAGGAAGATGCATTGAATATGGGGTTCTTGGTGTGCAATAAGTGCTTATTAAGCGATTGTGGGGTTGAATGGAGAAAAAGGTATAGAGAATCCAGCTGGAGGTTGGGGTTAGAAGGAAGGGGAACTGGAGGAGGGTTCTTCTTCATATATAGTAATAATAAATGGAGGCCTCCCATACTCTGACACTGGGAAAGTATGCAATAAATATCTGTAGAATGAATAAATGGCTCTGAATAGAGAGAAAGGCTGCTGGGTAAAGGCTCTTGGGTGAAGGAGGGGTGATCTAACTAGTAAAAAGCTGGTACTCAATAAATTTAGGTTGAAGTAGGCCCCTGGAAAGAGAAGTCTTGAGATGGGACAGCAACTTCCAGACTTGGAAAGAAGACATTGAGAATGGCCCTTATATAATAGGAACTTGATAAGTGTTTACTGGCTTAAATAGAAGAAAGAACTTTCGGGGTATGGATTTAAGATTGGGAGAGGAAACCCTAAGGACACTGAGAGGGAGTGGGGAGGGGTAATCCTTATAAATTGGGCTCTAGATTTATTAAAAGAAAGGAGAGGCTTTATGACAGACACAGGTTCTTCAAGGGGGTAAGGAAGGGGTGTCTATTCCCTCCACACAGCAGGCACTGCATAGATGCTTACTGGATCCACTAAAATAAAAAGACCTTGGGAAGAAGGTGTGAACATAGAGCACACAGATGGCACTCCATAAATGCTCACAGGGGCCATTGCAGGAAAAGGCCTTTGGGGGAGGTGATTAGAATCGAGCACCTGGCAGACAATACATAAACGCTCACTGGATCCATTAAAAAAAAAGGTCTTTGTGGGAGGGGTGCTAGGGATGGGCATACAATCACTGGATCCATTGGAGGAAAAGTCTTCGGGGAAGGGGAATGGGGATGCAGAAGCTTGATCTATGTAAGCTTGATTCTCTATCCATGAGAGGAAAGGCTTTTGTGTAGAGGGCACAGAATCAGGCACACAGTGGTGCTCCACAAATGCTCCAAGGAGTGATGAAAAGAAAAAGGCCTTTGGAAAGAGTATTGAAATGGTGCACACAACAAGTGTGAGGTATTTGATCACTCTATTAATTGGAGGCAAGCCCTTATGGAGAAAGTCTAAGGTTGGGTCATGCAGACGTTCAATACATGCAGAATGAAGCCACTGGGGAAAGGCTTTGGGGATGGGGTACACAGCAGGCATTCAATAAATGCTTGCTGAACAGACTGGAGGAAAGAAGCTTTAGAGAAGGCTCACATGGCTGGCCAGTGATAAATGCTGGGTGGGTTCACCAAAGGAAAGGTCTTTGAAGTAGCTTGAGAATGGAGGATAGAGGAGACACTCAATAAATGTTTTCTAGATCTATTGGAGGAAAAGGATTTTGGGGAGAGTCTGAAGATGAGTCACAGGAGGTTCAAAAATGCTCATGGGACTCATTTGAGCAAAATATGTTTGAGAAAGGGATTTGGAGATAGGGCACATATATCAGACAATAAATGCTTTCTAGATCCTTTGGAGAAATAAGTCCTTGGAGAAGGGACTTAGAGTTGGGACACACAGAAGGGATTCAATAAAGCCCCACAGAATCCATTAAAGGCAGCACTTGGTGAGAAGATGGGATGGGATACGCAGCAGGCAATCAGTGTTCACTGACTAGCTTAAAAGGTCTTTGGAGGGAGGGTTGGGGTGGGGCACATACCACAGTCTGGATACATGTTCACAAGCTCTATTAGAGAGAAGGCCTGAGGGCAAGGATTGAGGGGGACAAGACACATAGCAAGCTCTCAGTGAATGTTCACAAAATTCATGGAAGCCCAAGGCTTTGGGGAAGGGCTCTGCGATAAGGCACACTGCAGGTAAATGATAAATGCTCACAAGATCCATTAAAGGACAAGGTCTTTGGGGTGAGGGTTGGGGAGGGCAAGGCACATTAGGCTCTCGAATGCTCACAGGATATACTGAAGCCAAAGCTTTGGGAAAGGAGGTACACAGCAAGCGCCCGATAACTGCTCCCTGTATAGATGGAGAAGGCCTGGGTGGGGGCAAAGGCGGGGTACACAGGAAGTGCCCAGCATAATAATTTAAGGGAAAAGGGTTTGGGTTAGGGGACCAGGTGCCTAGCACACAAGGTGCTTGATAAGTGCTCATCGTGGAACGATCTGGGGGACCCAGGCCCGCGGAAGACATCCGTGGCAGTGGCTTACCAGTCGGTGTGGGGCTCGTCGATGACCAGCAGCACCCTGGCGGCAGCGCCCCCACGACCTGCGCCCCCAGAGCCGCCGCCCACCTGCTCGCTGAAGGTGGCCGCCGCGGCCGCCGTGGTCTGCTTGACCGCGTTGGACAGCGACGAGAAGAAGCCACCACCCCCCGAAGACCCGGGACTAGGGGCAGCGGGAGAGGCCACAGGGGCGGACGCGGAGGCCCTCTCGGCAGTGGCAGTCGCGGGACCGGGCGTGGCTCCGGGACTGGGGGCAGCAGGCGGCGGCGGGGGTGGCTGCGGGCGCTGCAGGTCTGTCATGTACCCATTTGGCAGATTGGCCATGAAGTTGCTGTCCGACAGGCGGCGCCGCAGGTAGTTCATGGCTGCGGCGTGGGGCAGGGGGTCCTAGGAGCAGCCTGGTCAGGAGCCGCGGGGGCGGACCGCGCGGGGCCCAGGAGCACAGCTGCGCTCTCAGGCACGACACGACTCTTCCGTTGCCCGCTGCAGACTGAGGCAGCGCTGAGTCGCCGCCGCCGCAGCGCCGATGGTCGCGCCCGTACCCCCCTATCTCGCGCCCCTCGTGGTGCTGTCCAGCTGGGCAGGCGGCGGCGCGGACGCGACCAAGGCGACTGGGAAGGGGAGTTTGGGGAGGAACGGCGAGTGACGTCAGCGCGCCTTCAGTGCTGGGGAGGCGGTGGCGCGCGCCGACAGGCGGGGGCGAAGGAGCTGTCCGTGGTGCTGAAGGCGGCAGTGCGCACGCGCCACGCCGCATCCTGATTCCCCTCCCCCTCGTCCGATTGGGGATGCGCAATTTAGGGAGTGGGGGCGGGGTAGATACTTGTCGGGAGGGTCGAGGTGAGTGGTCAGTCAAGACCCCCACCCCGCCTCATTACGGTTTTCACACCCAGTCTCACTCACAGGCAGGATTCTCTGTAGTTACTCAGTTCCCCGTGTTGATATTCACCATAGAAGGCATGGGGGGGATGGGGGGAATGGAGGCACACGCAGAGACTCAAAAGTAGAGAAATAACCTCACCGCGACGGATGGGGGTCACACGCAGTACCCTGTGGGGGGAAATCAATTTCCCATATCCATACGGGCTCAGTCAGGCAGAGAGAGGGTGCGGGGGCGGCATAGCATCAGAAAGGCTGACTTGGACACTTGGGGGGTACACACCCTTGCCCTGGGTTGCTGGGGCCTGGAGGCACACAGGAATGACATACACGTGGAGATACATATAAACACACACAAAAGTAAAGAAACACACGGAGGGGGATCCCTGGGTGGCGCAGCGGTTTGGCGCCTGCCTTTGGCCCAGGGCGCGATCCTGGAGACCCGGGATCGAATCCCACATCCGGCTCCCGGTGCATGGAGCCTGCTTCTCCCTCTGCCTGTGTCTCTGCCTCTCTCTCTCTCTCTGTGACTATCATAAATAAATAAAAATTAAAAAAAAACACACGGAGGCACATACAGACGGAGAATACACCGATCTAGGTATCCATGCAGACATACACAAGCCCAGGGTAACACACATGGGCATGCATGCATACACGCATGCATATATGCCTACACACAAACACAGGCACCACATCTACACACAGAGAACCAGGGAAACTCATACGAACATGCACACCCAAATGACATACTCACTGACAATCATGATAAACCTAGATTTGCCACACAGACACATTCCCCGAAGATCCAGATGTGATGTGTGTCCATCTCTGTACCCCCACCCCCAATGCCCAGGGCCCTAGACACATACACTCAGTCTATATGCTCCCATCCCTCTGCCCTGGATAAGCCAAAACCCACATAACCACCTGATATGATATCATCAGTTCCCTTGGCTGTCTTCCCTGCACCAGAGAAGTTTCTACAGACAGAGAGGGACCCATCCTAGGGTATGCACACAGTAGGTGCCAAATAATGTTGCCACATGAGCAAATGACCTTTACAGTCCAGCAGAGGGGGACCTGTGGAAGCCATCCTGTAAGCTCCTGTGAGATCCTGACTACAATGAAAGTACGAATCCATTTAAAAACGATCATTTGTTGACAGCACCCAGCTAAGCTGTTTACATGTATTGTTTCATCCAACCCTCACAACAATATTGTGGAGTAGGAAACGTTGCTATTTTACAGATAAAGAAATCCAAGAGCTCCAATTCATTTCCAAAGGGCCATGTTCACTTTGTGATCCATGCCTTTTTTTTTTATAAGAATGTGCTAGAAAGAGGTGCCAGTGTGGCTAGAACAAAGTGAGCAGGGGTGGGAGTTCTGGCAGGAGATGGGGTCAGAGAGGTTAGCAGAGACCAAACTGAGCCAGTCCTTGTGGGCCAGTGAGGATGGTTAACCAAGTGAGGTAGAAGAAGATATGGTAAGAAATAGGCAGATTTGGAGTCTCTTCTGCTTGTAGGATTTTCAGGTGAATCATCCACTTATTCGTTTATTTTTTATTCATTAAATCCTTGGCCTGTTTAAACAAGGTAGTAATGGTGTGGAATCTAGAGTCAGAGTGCTTGAGGTTCAAACTAGGCCTCCACCATACCCCTGGGAAAGTGACTTAACCCCTCTGAGACTTGGTTTCCTCATCTGTTAAGATGATCACCTGACCCATCTATAAGGGTGTGTGTGTGTGTGTGTGTGTGTGTGTGTGTGTGTGTGTGTGTGGCGGGGGAGAGAGCCTCTATATTTTCTCATGTGCTGTGACTTCTGCCAGGAATGTCCTTTACCTCTCTCTCAAGGATTGTCTTTGGCCAAGTTCACCCAGGAAGTGTTCCCTTCCCCTGGACTCAGATTCCACTCCCCCTTCCTCTAGCCTCCCACAGTCCTCAAGTCCAATACTTCCAAACTACCCTCTACTCCCTCATCCACCTCCGGGCCTCTGCTTTGGCCATTCCTTCCCTCCCTTTCCTGGATGCTATCTCTGGCACTCCATATCCCAATGTTCCCCAGATGGGGAACTCTCAAGAATCAGGTCTTTTCCAACATATAGAAAGAAGTCTGTGCTTCCCAGTTTTTTGCTCAGTAACTGAAGTAAACAAGCTGTGCTGGATCCATGGTGCCCTCTCTGGCGGATAGGAGCAGTTGCAGGTCTACAGACCTTTCTGGCTCCTCTGGGAGCCAGAAGTTGGGCTCCTTGGGAATCTGTCTCCAGAATGACTCTTCCCACGAACCCCATTCCCAGGCTTCAAGTACTCATGGCCCCCAGCATCACTCCCTTTCTCCAGATGGCTCAATTTCCAGAAATTAATGTTTTGTAGATTGTCTTGCAGAAGAATGAGGGTTCCCTTCAGGACTGTCTCAACTCCCTGAGGCACAGGTCAGGCTCCTCTGCACTGTCTCTGTCTTCTCCAGCAGAAATGAACAGACAGGAGGGGCTCCAGGAATGATTTTCTTTGCTGTGCGTTGGTGAGCAATGCCTCTGAGACATGCACCCCGACATGTTTGTAATCAGTATTGTACCCATGTTCATAACTCACACATATTGTCTATCCATGGCACCTGAATGCACATGTACATGTGTGCACGCACACACACACACACACACACACACACACCTGTAACTCAGATTGTTACAGTGCACACATGGTTCTAACTTTATGTACTCTCCACATATACTCAATACATCCTTAATTCTTGCATGACCCATAGGTCTGTGTTTCACACACACACACACACACACACACAGACACACACACAGATATGTACCTCGTAATGCACAAACTTCCACTTTCTTGTAGACACATAACACTTATACCCTGTAGTAGCAACCAGAATCATTCACTTCAGCTCATTCTTCCCAAGATGAGCAAAAGTTCAACTTTGTCTTTACTTCAACCCATCAACTGACCTATTTTGGGGGGGAAATCAACCCCGAGAGGTGAACACCTTGACAGAATCTTGGTGTCACACATCTCCCATCTGTGCGGAGGGGTCCCTCCACTCACAGCACACACCATGCTTCAAATGTCCAGCCCGCTACCTTTCTGTGCCTCAGTTTAATCCTTTGTAAATGGGAATAATGATAATACTGACCCTTATAGGTTTGTTGTGGATTAAATAAATCTGTGCTTTGCAGTCTAAAAACACTACCAAACACACAGCAAGTACTAAGTATTAGCTAATACCATAACTATGATGATTCTTATGATTTGTCTCATTGCAAGGGGCTCAGCATTCAGCAAATGCTAATTAGTGCAAAATTGAATGAGCAAATGCTAACAGCATTAGTGTCTGGGTTTGTTCCCTTCACTGTGGAGACACGTGCTGTTCTGACTCCTCTGTTCTCCATGATGTCCAGTGCTATTGTTAGTATACAGTAGGCGTTGATAAGGGTTGGAAAAAAATGTTCAACGAAAGGATCACATATTCTGAGTTTGTTCCCTCACTCAGATGTCCTCTCCTTCTACCAGTCCTCCTCCACCCCAGATGCCCAGACTTCGTTCTATACAGTAGACGCTATAAAAGTGTTGAATGGGTGCATAAAGACTAAAAGAATCTGTGTCTGGGTTTGTCTCAGGGGCTCCTTCTGGCAGATGCTGACTCTGGTTTCTCTTCGCTCCCGCCCCAGCTCAGAGCACCTCGTAGGCACTTCCTCAGTCCACCCCCGGCCAACCGCCACCCCGCTTTGGGTCTCTGCTAATTGCAGCACTGGATCTGGGCTGTTGGGAGTGGGTGGGTGCAGGTGTTCGCCCGGCGGGGTGCCAACCCCAGCCACACCTCTGCCGCCTCTGCCGTGCGGCTCAGCCCTGGATTGATGCGCAACCCGCCAGCCCAGAGGCTCCGACGGGTGGGAACCTCGAGCACGCCGGCCAATCAGAAAGTGCCGGCCGGGCCGAGTGACCAACCAGAAAGCCTGTAACGCAGAGCTCTGCAGAGGGATGTGCCGGACGCCCTGGGACATGGCGCAAGGAGGGGAGAGGGGCAGACGCCGAGGCTAAGGCAGCGGGGAGGGGATGGGTACTCGCGCCTTCGCTCCTGCCAAACCGTGGCCGCAATGGAAAAACTGTTTTCCACAACAAGCCACTGCGACTCTGCCCGTGCTGTGCCTTTTGGCCTAGAAGATGCTACTGCTTCACTCCTGGGGAAGAGGCTCATTTATTGAGGTCTGGGAGGTCAGGGGATCAGGGCAGAAGAGACAGGTGTTAAGGCTTCTCATCCTGAGGGTCTTTGCAGGCAGGCACGTGTAGACATGGCCGAGTCTCCTCCACCACCACCTTCTGCCCCTGCAGCGTCTCGCACTGTGCTGACGGTTTCCCCCAGAAGGTCACGTTCTTCTCACCTTGACCTTCGACCACAGTAATGGTTGGCCTGGGGCATTAGAGGGGGAATGGAAGGGAGAAGCTCAGGGAAGGTAAGAATGCATTCAATAAACTCATAATGAATGCCTACTGTGTGCCCAACACTATTTTTTACCTATGAGATATTGGGCAATTTATCTTCCCCATGCTCATCTGGAAAATGAGAATAATTGGAATAATAATAATACCCACCTTACTGGGCTGAGTGAGGATAAATAAATTAATTTTGGTAAAGTGCTCAGAGTGGCGTCTGGTACACAGTAAGTGCTCAATAAACGCTGGTAATTGTTACTCGTTGACAATACCTACCTTCTCTTACCTCCTAAACTCCTTACATCTTTCCCCAGTGCCCATGGGGAAAAGTCCCCAAATGCTTTGCCCTGGTATTCAAGGCCTTGTTTTGGGGCCCAGGTGCCTGCCCCAAGACAATCTCTCTCTTTTCCACTTTATCCACAGTCCCATGTCCAGAGTGGTCTTTGCCTGGACCTTTGCCTGGACCTTTGCTCCTCCCATGAGACATGCATTCCATTCATTCACTCTCACCCCTGTTCCCTCCATCAAATCCATTCATATCCCAACTCTGCCAAGTGCTTCCTACCTCTACTCAACACCTTTAACTCTTCTTCAGGACCTACTAGAAACCCCAGAACCAGAGACCACTTCCAGATGGCAGGTGTTTCACAAGTGGAGAGTAGCTCACTTAATCTAGTGGCTCGAGGTATGTGGAAATAAAGAAGGGAGGATGTTTTTACCCTCTGTTAACACCTAGGCCCCCAGGATAAACCAACTTTGGGCAGCTGGTCACCAGTATCCAGGACTCTGCTCTCACAGTCTTAACACTGGGAATGCCTTTGCTGACCCCTTCCTGCCAGGTGAGATCCGATCGGCTACATGGACTTGGGGCGAGGTATCAGTCCCTTCTCCATTGTACCAACTGTTCCTCATCTGCCTTCTGTCAGGCCCCTGTTGACCTGTATCCTTTGGGGGGGACCCATGGGACCTGGGTTCTGTGTGTCTTCAATTGTTGGGGGAAAGCCTCTCCCAGGTCCTGAGGCCGTGAGACATTGAGTGAGATGTGGGTGGCTGAAGGAATGAGTAAGAGAACGAAGGCCTGAGTGGCTTTAGGGGCAGACCCAAGCTTGGGTGACCAAGAGGGCCAAGTGCCTGGTCACAGGAAAGCCTGGGTGAGCGGCAGGATGGCTGAGTGACCAAATGAGAGACCCAAGGGCACAGTGGCCACTGATTCTCCCCCTCAGTATCCTCTTTCTCAGCTGCTTCATTGGTGTCTCTCCTTTTCCTGCAGGTGGGAGATAACACTCGTCAAGGCACGTACCATAGACCCAAGGGGTGGATGCTCTGGTTGTGGGGAGCTGAGCTGACTCTCCCACCATCACTGCTCACATATGGCTGTCGTGACCCCCTCCTGAGCACATTTTGCCCCCTCACTCACGAGAACTTGGGGAGCTGGGCCATGCAGAGGCGCTGGCGGGTGCGGATGGGCGTGGGTCCACACGGGGGTACGCACAGCCCCCAGGTACTCCACTCTGACCATAAGCCTTTCCCTGCAATGAGTCAGAATGAGAGGTCTCAGCAGGGTGGGGTGTGTGTGTGTGTGTGTGTGTGTGTGTGTGTGTGTGTGAGAGAGAGAGAGAGAGAGAGAGAGAGACTGAGAGGTGGCAGGGACATGGGGGTCCATGGTAGAGTCAGAAACCCCTTCTTGCTGCAGGGGCTGCCCATCCTCACAGTGTAGTCTGTGGGGAGCACTCACAGTCACAGTGTTGGATGTTATAACAGTGACGGATATCTTGTTGTTCTCCAACACACCGCTGTCCATCAAACTTGCGGCCCTTGCAGCTCCTGGAGCGTGTCTGCTGGCCTGGGATCGCCTTACACTTGATGTTGTTTATGCCCCGACGGGTGCAAGGGCTCCACTCCTCCCAGGACCCCCACTCTCCATTCACTGCACAGACAGGGGCAACCAGGGCTTGCACCAAAGGGAGCCAGTGAGGGGATTCAGAGGAAGGGATGAAAACCCAGGGGAAGGAGTGGAGGTGATCAGATGTGGGGCTGGGGGACCAGAGGTGGGGCGGAAGCAACAGGGCTGGGAATAGGGGAATGAGAGGCAGGAGCAAAGCATTAGCAGCAGGAACTGGGCAGCAGGGATGGATGAGAGGCTTAGGCATGGAGACAGGGAATCTTGTGGTACCGACCAGGGCAGGGCACAGCTGTATTGCAGATGTGGGTTCGGACGGCATCACCAGCGCAGGGGGGGCCCCCATGCTGGGGCACAGGGTGATTACACATCCGTTTTTCCAGGGTCTGGCCCATGCCACAGGTCACAGGGCAGGGGCTCACAGGGCCCCACGCCCCCCAGCCCCCAGCCACTGTTGGGGGTGGAGAAAGGAATGAGAAGATAGGCCACCTCGATCTCCCCCTCAGCCCCTAGACTCTTGAGGCAGATTGTTCCAGAATGAAGAGTTCTGCGGTCACTTGCTCTAAGACCTCTATCCTCTGAGATGGCAGAGCATCTGTTCCTGAATCAGGAACAGAATGTCCGAGGCCTCATCCCTGTGTACCTGGGCAGGGTGGCAGACCAGAGCAGGGCCGCTTCTCATGGTCTGACCCTGGGCAGGGCTTCCCAGGAGGCACCTTGGAGGGCTCAGGTGCAGAACACTTGCGGCTTCGACTCTCGGCAGGTGCGCTGGGTCCACCGTGGCAGGAACCCGAGCAGGCGCTCCAGGGGCCCCAAACAGCCCAGGCCCCGTGTACTGTGATGGGATGGGGGGGGGATGCCAGGTGTGGTCACACGTGCTGAGGTCCTCCCACTATCCCACAACCATGTGCTATAGCCCCCAGATCCACCCTGGGTGCCCGCATCAGTGCCCTGTGGTTGCCTTCACTCACCGGGGCAGACCTGCTGGGTGTCACAGGTCTCAGACTCCTGTGGTTTTCCTGGGCACTGGCCGCCACACTTGGGGGTGGGTTGGTTACATATTCGCTGACGGGTCCGGGTCCCTTTGGAACAGGTGACAGAGCAAGGGGTCCAGGGCCCCCAGTTGGACCAGCCACCCATCTCTGTGGGAGAGAAGAAATGGGGACAGGATGGAAGCAGGGGCACCATTCAGAGGTTGTTGCTTCCTCACGTGCCCCACATCCTCTGCCACACATGGTCCTCCATCATTGCTTATCTGGACTACTTCAGTAGCCTTCACACTGGTCCTGCTGCTTCAGCCCTTACCACATACAGACCGCCCTCCTCGGGACAGTGAGAGGGATCTGTCACAACCCAAGTCAGATCACATCTCTCCTCTGTCCACCACCACAGAATAAAAGCCAGCATCCTCTCCGTGGCCCACAAGGATCAGGCCGCCTTTGATCTCGCCCCCCACAAGTCTCCTCCAGCCATGCCAGCCTCTTCCTTGGTGCCTCACAGATATCAGGTGTAGTCCTCCCCTCAGGGCCTCTGCCCTGATGGTTGCCAAAGCCAGGTAACAGACAGTGCTCTCCTGCCTTGCTGGTCTTCCTCACCAGGACAGCACGGCTGGTCCTCACAGGCTTGCAGCTGCCACTCAAGGGTCCCGGGCTCCACCTTCTCGGGGCACTGCCCACCACGGCCTATGCAGCGCCGGTGCCGCAATTGGGATCCCTCAGTGCAGGTCACCGAGCAGGGGGCCCACGCAGACCATGGTGACCATCGTGGGGACCTGCAGAGAGGAACACATGTGTCCTGTCCTAGTTTGAGCTGGCAAGGATGGGGTGTGCTGGACTGTAGAGTGAGCACAGGTAAAGGGGGGGTGCAGGATAAACGTATGTGGAATGGATGGATCAGAGTACCTACCCCTTAGGGATGTTGGGGATTCAATGGCAAGAGGAGGGCACACAGTAAGTACTTTAATATCACTGACCCTCATGATTGGGGAGCTGGAACACTTTGAATCCCCCAAGGATAGTGCCAGACACGCAGCAAGCAAATGTAAGAACTAAGGACCGAGGACTGCTGTCAGAAACCTTCCAGGCATCCCCATGCTTGCTAGCGGGCAAACAGAAAGTTCTTAATAAATAGTAGCTATCATCCTGGTGAGCTTAGAGATCACATCAGAGATACCCCAGATCTGGGGCTGCTGGGTGGCCCAGTCAGTTAAGTGTCCAACTCTTGATTTTGGCTCTGGTCATGATCTCAGAGGGTCCTGAGATTGAGCCTCACACTGGGCTCCGCGCAGAGGTTAAGATTGTCTCTCTCCCTCTACCCCGCCCCCAGCTCATGTGCTCTCTCTCTAAAACAAAATTAAAGAAAGAAAAATACCCTAGACCTATCCTCAACCCCCTGTACACACCATAACACTAAATTGATGGGAACTGTTGACATTACTAGAGGTAATGAAGGGTAGCTGCCTTCAAAAATCCCCAAGCTCCCCATCCCCATGGTGTATCTGGGATGTACAGTAAGCTGTTAGAAAACATGTCTGGCATACAGTAAGGGCTAATTACATGGAAGCTGGCATTGTGATTAGGAGACTAGAGTCACCCTCAGAGATCCTCCAGCTACCTCTCACCTCTGCAATGCATCCAGTAGGTTGGAAGTGCTCAATGAAGGTGAAGTGTCATCATGATTAGGTGCCTGGAGCTGCCCTCAGAATTCCCCAAATTCACCCACCCCCACATGTCTGTATGCAGTAAGCACTCAATATGAGCTGTCATCACAATTAGGGGACTGGAGCTACCTTCAGAATACACCTGACCTGTACCCCACCCTCCAATGCTACCAGTATGCAGGAAGTGCTCAATGAATGTAAGTATAGCAGTGGTTCTCAACCAGGGGCGATTTTGCCTCAGCAGAGGTGGGGGAGGCATTTGGCAATGTTTGGACACATTTTGGTTGTTGCAGTTTGGTTGGGGGAGTTGCTACTGGCATCTAGTGGGAGGCCAGGGATGCTACAGAACACAGCTTTGCAATGCATAGGTCAGACCCCCACAGCAAAGAATTTTCTGGCCCCAAATGTCAGTAGAGCCGGGGCTGAGAAACCCTGAGCCATGGTCATGATCAGGGCCTTGGAATCACCCTTGGGAACTTCAGAGAAGGAAAGAGCCCAGTTCTGGGTGGCCCTGCATCTCAGGATCCTCCTTACCTGCATGCCTGACAGAGCTTGCTGCCAGGCTCCTGGAAGGCATAGGCAGGGTTGAGACAGCAGTCTTCCACACGGATACCTTTCCCCAGGAAGCCCTGGCACTTGCCAGAAGATTCCTCATACTGGGTGAAGCACCATATGGGGACTGAGCCTGGAACAGGGTGGGGGGGCAGGCACAATCAGGGGTATGATGGGTCTGGGCACCCCTGTAGGCCAGTTGGGCCCTCACGCACTTACCTTTGGCTGGCAGCAGGGTGAACAGCAGCAGTAGCAACTGAGGAGCCTGCCCTGGGGTGGACATGGTGAGAGCTGCACCCGTGCAGTCCTGCCACCCTGCCAGAGAGGAGGCTCGGCTTTGTATGGGCTGACCTGGCTCTGGGATCAGTGGCAAAGAGGAACTGGGCCAGGAGGAACTGGGCGGGTAAAGAGCAGCATGGGGGAGGGGAGGGTCATGCAGGGTCTCTGCACTTCTCTCCTGGTACCCCTGCCCCGAGCCTCCTGCCCCACTCTCCCTTCCCTATTTCCTGCCTCACCCTTGATCCAGTTTTGTCACTGTATCCCCAGCACCCACATCCTGCCCAGTAACCCATTACCACTGTCATTGCCCCCTTGGACACATTCTTACTAGGAAGAAATGGAGCCTAAACTTCCTAGCTGTGTGACCTTAGGCAAGTCACTTAAACCTCTCTGAGCCTCAATTTCTCCACCTGTAAAATGCAATCTCTACCACAGTGATGGGGTCAACCTCATGGGGGTGTGGAACAAGGGTGCACTGAGCTCAGTGTATCCCTCCTCATTGGGTGGAAAAGGCTTCGAGACAATTGCTTCATCCCGTTCTTTCCTGAAAGTGAGGTTGCCTGTGGTCAGTGTGGGCAGGGGAGGTCAGCAGTGGGGGGAAGTGAGAAGGGGAAGTGAGGATTGTGGGGAGAAAGGTTTGAGAATGAATTGGAGATATCACTGTCCCAGGGTTCCAGCTGGGGACTACCCCCTCTACCACCCCCACCCCTGCCTGGGGAGGGAGCCAGTTTGGCCATGTTCTGTCAGAGTAACTGGGGTAGGGGACAGCCCCATCCCTGAGCCTACAGCACAGTTTGTTGCAAAGATTGGGAGTTGAAGATTTTCAAAAATCCTCAGAATAGTGCCTGGCATACAGTAGGGGCTGTTTGTTAAATACATTGATTCAATATTTACTGAGTGCCTATTGGGTGTCAGATGCCATTCTTGGCACTAGACCGAGCAGAATAAGAGAGCCAAATATTCTGGTCCTGGAGGGGCGCTTATGCTGTAAGAGAGGAGACAGACAAAAAATGTTCCCTCTCTCATACAGGCCTTCCCCAGCTATCCTTTTGGTATGGTACCCTTGTTGCGCTGTAGCCCAGGGGCTCTTAAATCTTAGTGTGCTTCAGAACCATCTGGAAGATTTGTTCAATCGCAGAGTGCTGGGCCCCACCTCTGTTTCTGATTCTGTAGGTCTGGGATGAGACACAAAAATGAACATTTCTAACAGGCTCTCCCAGGTGACAGTGATGCTGCTTGCTGGTCTGGGGTCCACACTGTAAGAGCCACTCTAGCCACTGACACCTCTTTTTCATTGTAGATGTCATCTATAAAAATGATTCTACGTGCTCCTTCTTTTGCTGTTAATATTAAGTTCTCTTCAGCCCCTTTTCTGTGCAGGTAAAAACCAAGCTCCACGGACTTGCTCTTTTTTCTTCCTTACCTCCTTTTTTCTTTTTAAGTAATCTCTACACCGAACATGGGGCTTGAACTCACAACCCCAAGGTCCAGAGTTGCATGCTCTTCCAACTGAGCTGGCCAGGAGCCCCTCTTCTCTTATTAGCCCAGATGAGTGAGACTCCAGAGCTCACTTTTAAACCAGGAATCTCTAATGAACAAAAGGTGCCTAAAAATGTTAGGAGGGCAAGGTTTCATTTCCTCTGCATTTGTGGAAAGAGACGTACCATTCTGCAAATTAGAACAAGGTAATAGAATTTGATTTGGTCAGGTGTTAAAACTTTGTTAAGAATGTTAAGAATGTTGGTTTCATGTAATGGGCAATAGGGTGTGTTGACATCTGTATCTACTACAGATGTACTCTGTTTCCTGATCATACAGGCCTGCCTTTGAAAGTACGCTTTGAACAAAGGGGTCTTGTTAAGATTCCAAGACTTCAGACATTGTCGCTGTGTTATCCTGTGGAAACAAGCTCCCCTAGAAACCTGTGATTCTGGTTGGCTGTTTTATCTAATCACTGGTTGCCCTGGTGATAATGTTATAATCAATGTTTCCTTTGGGCCTAAACTGTATACTCCCTGGGGAAGAGGACTATAGATACTTTTGGCTTTTCCCACATTTGCACAACAAAATGACTGCAGCATTCTTATTTAGACAGAGTGAGACCATCTTATCTCATGAAATTATTGCACTGCCACCTGACGATGCATTTATCTGTTGCTTGTCCGTTGCCTTCACTAAAATACTCGCTCCCCGAAGGGCAGGTATTTGTGTCTGGTTTGGTAACTGCTGTGTCTGCAGGGCTCAATAAGCAGGTGCTGAATGAATCAATCAATAATCCAAACTCTAGAGATTCTGACAAGCGCAATGAGGCAGAGTCTGGGTTAGAGGTAAAAAGGTGGGCATTGCCAGTGGTGGGCTGTGTGTGTGTGGGAAATAGTGTCTCACATGCTGGGACTGGACCGGGCCACCCTGGAGAGGGCTTGTGAGAAGAGGGAAGGGGAATCCCAGGTGAAGCCCTGGAAACTCCAGTATTTCAAGTTTTGGAGAACTGGGAGAAGCCAGTACAGGGGACGGAGGAGGTGGTCCCAGTGGAGGAAGTGGCTTTCTCCCAGGCCTGGCACAAATCAGTGGTTTCTCATACAGTCGCATTTGGTCTTGGTCGTTTTCTTACTTTTTAAAAAAAGATTTTATCTATTTATGAGAGAGAGAGAGAGAGGCAGAGACACAGGCAGAGGGAGAAGCAGGCTCTATGCAGGGAGCCTGACGTGGGACTCGATCCCCGGTCTCCAGGATCACGCCCTGGGGTGAAGGCGGTGCTTAACCACTGAGCCACCCGGGATGCCCACCCCCCTTTTAAAAAAAATACAGTTACACATACAATTCTGGGTCTGCAGCCTCTACTAAGGTCTCTTAGGAACCAGCTCACATACATACTCTGTCCCATAGCCTCTCAGACTTTCCCTCAGTCACACACACTCAGGGGGTCATTTCTTATGTCACGGATTCCCAGTCTCCTACCAAGAGGGTCACACACACACACACACACACACACACTCTACATCTTACAGCCTTCCCTCATTTGGCCACACTCACCAACATTTCCTCTTACCAGTTTTTGACACGCACACAAACGCAGTCACACCTTTAGGTGTTTCTGCCAGTCACTGGTTTACAGCTCCTGCTGGTCTCTCTCTAAGTTTCTGGTGCAGGGACAAAATTGCCACTTCTCCTACCTCCTCACTCAAGCCCCCATCTTGCATACCCAGTCCCTGATGGTAGCTAAGGCGCACACACATACACCATCACACACTGTCACAGATGCCGTCTCAGTCACCTGGTCTCACTTCTGTTCTCAAGTGGCGTGCCACTTACCTAGGCCTTATTTACAGCCTTTAATTGTGTCTTGCAAAGACCTTTACACATACCCACACCATTAGCTTCTCAGCTGCCATTGTGGTCACCTTTCCTCAGTTAGCCTCTGCCATCTGTGGTCACAAACTCCCAACTGCCGAGGGACTCTCCAAGTCTCTCACACACAGGCTCCTCCGGCCTGCGTCAGTGCTGTACACCACCCTTTCCTTAGCAGGGATGCTCAGACACAGCTACGGCCTCACCCACTTCTCCCACACGCCCACCCCACCAGTCTCCCAGGGCCTCATTTTCCCAATTCTTCACACACAGAGAGCCTCTGATTCAAGTCCCTCATGAGCTGTTCCACACACCCACTAATGTGCTGCTTAGCCATTGGTTTCCACTCAACACGGTGCCACGTGCCTTCTCGGCTCTTGCTCCAGACACCTCTGTGTTCTCCCAGACTGGTTCAGTCCTCACCATCCTTTTCCCTTGTGCTGTCTCAGTCCCTGAGCCTCTGGCCTAGACTGGTGTGGTAACTGTAATCAATCTGCCACTCGCCTCTGGTACACACATGTATGCATGTGAATGAGGCGCGCGCGCACACACACACACACACACACACACACACACACAAGCTTACAGCCTCATACTCCCCCAGTCAGAGCCAATTTTTCTCAGTTTCTGACATAGTCCTTGCTGGTCTCACATGAATAGTGTCCACATGCACGATCACGTGTTCTCAAATCTTGTGCCTCACAGCCATTTTCTCTCACACAGTCAACTCTTTTCCGTGAGGCTGCCTTGCATGGAGCTTCACTCATGGTCATCTTCAGAACACAGTTGGCTGCTTATTTACAGCGAAGTTCCTTGCTTGCACACGGTCCCTGACCATCTTCCCCCACACCTTCCTCATGCTCACGCAGGCTCAAGCGTCCTTTTGGTCACTCGGTCTGTCCTGCTCACCATCATCAGCCCATCCAGTGGTGTCTGAGGTACAGTTCCCACTACCGTTGCCATTAACAGGACTTCACACATACCTCCAGCCTCTTGTAGGGTGCCTTAGTACGCAGCGAGTCTCACAGTGATCTGACACACAGCTGTAATTTCTTATGATGACATGGACACATCGTCTGTGGTTTCAGCGGCCACACTCTATCTCACACACACACACACACACACACGGCTCCACACGCATACATACGTGATCACAGCTTTCCACATTTTTCTCTTCTTTGCACACCTAGTTACAATCTGCAGTCTCTCCAGCTATTTCCTGCACACACTGTCACGCTGTCTCTTGCAGTCAATCTCACACCTTCACTGCCTTCCACATAAAGTCATGCCTGTCACAGTCAGTCCCAATGGCTTCAAGGAAAGAAAAAAAGGCTAGCAGCCTCCAGTATCACCTTTAAAAATATATATTTACAGGAACAATTCCCCATTCTCTGGGACTCTTAGAAAAAAAAGATCCATTTTTGGGGAAGTAAAACAAACAGTGGAGACAGGTGTAGCACCGTCCCCCAAATCACCAACCCCCAGGTCCCCAGGCCTGGGCTGGGCCGGTGCTGACAGGAGGTGAGCCCAGGAGTCCTTTGAACCCACCCTCTCCAGCCTGGAATTCAGATAGGACAGGCTTTATGTCCCCCATTCCTCCCTCCCAACTCCAGGGACACTTAAAGGGTCCTTTGTACCCGCCCGCAGGAAATTGGGGGGCTGGGAGGGAGGGAGCTGAAAATACACGTTTGGTATCAAAAATAAACACTTGGGAGTGGCAGGAAGATTCCTCCCCCAAATCCCTTCCTTCCCACCCACCGCATCTCAGATATAGGAAGAGATGCTCCCCTCTCCCCTATTGAAAAGCCCTGTTTAAAAATAGATTATACTATCAAAATGGCAGGGGGTAGGGGACAAGGAGACCTGGAGTACTGGCTGGAGGGGCCCCCCAGACGGGGACCACTCCCCAAAAAAACCCTCCATTGGGAGGTAACAGGCAGGACTCCAGGAGTTTGGCAGATACAGGAATGGCTTCTCAGGGGGAGAAGAACAAAAGGAGCATTCCTCCCTGGCCAAAATGGTGGTATCTGAGAGAAGGCTGGGGAGGTGGAAATTCCTATTTCTAGAGTGTGTCTTTCTTGGCCAAGGCTCCCAAACCGTTAAACGGCACAATTTCTTCCTGGACCCTTGGGTATGGCCAGGAATAATAAACTACAACAAGCTATCTCTTCTACCCACACCCCAAAATGGAGACAGGGCTCCCTCAGCTTCCCAAGCACAGGCTGAGAAATAAATAAAGAAAGGTCCTTCTCAAGCCAGACCCCGATTGTCTCATCTTGGGGAGAAAATGTGGAGATGGGGGAGATGTCCTCACCAACCCCCCCCAGAAGGGTTGGGCCAGGCTCCTCCCAGTGGCCTTCAAAAAATAAATAAATAAACCGTCTCCACCAATGCAGTAGAAGACGTGTAAGGGCGGCCACTGAGGAACTGACCAAGAAGAGAGAAGTTGTATGTTTCCTGTGGAAGGGTTATTGAGAGATCCTTCCTAGAATCCCTACCCCACCACAGCTAGAGCACAAGTCTGTCAGCTGAACTATGTTTCTCCTTGAGACGGCTGGCTGGAGAGAAGTTCAGGGCCATGGATGGAGTGACCCCAGAAGGGGGTGGTGGTGGTGGTGGTAGTCATGGCTTCTGGGGCCCTGGGGAGAGCACCACGGGGGTTGAGAGGCCATCCACGCTGATGGAAGGGATGTGCACCTGGGCGCTGCCACTGGACGGAAACTGGGGACAGAAATAGGGAAAGATCACGGATGGGGGCCATGCTAGGGTCTCTCACCCTGTACAATATGGGGGAAGGGGATCCTACCTGGAAGGAGAGCTTGGCTGGACTACGGGGTGCAATGGGACTCAGGGTGCTCCAGAAGTGAATGCTGGGGGGCAGCGAGCTGGGTGTCAGCAGCACCGGGGTCTGTGGGGGAACAGATGGTTGGAGCTCAAGTGAGTAGAGGGCAGGTGTGGGAAAATGGAAGGACCTTGGCTCCTGTCCCACCAGATTTCCAGCTCAGACATCTGAGATCACCCTCCCAAAGTGCACAGGCTTACACCCTAACTACTAAGGTCAAGCCCATGACACCTCTCCCATGTCACAGACAGCCCCTCCCAACTCCGGAGAGCCCACCTCTAGCTTCATTGGGCGAGATCACGTATAAGACCCCATCCACATGTCGCTTTTAAACCTCACAATCACTATCCCATCAGCTTAGGATCAACTTCCAACTCAGATCCCCCCAACCCATACACCTCCCAGGAAATCCGCTAAGAAAACCCCAGACCAAAAAGCCCCATGCAGGTTCCCCAAGCCACACTCCAACCCAGAAAAGTTCCCGCCCCCAGCCTCGCGGTCTCCGCCCACAAAACTCCCCAGACCCGTCCTTCATTCCAGCCCATCCTTCAGCAGGGGAGACTAGCCCGCCCTTCGCTAATCAAGCCCCGTCCCTCCAGCCAATCCCCCTCGAAGGCTCCACCCTCCCGCTCACTCAGGGATAGCCACACTGGCCCTTGCAGTCTAGCTCCTTTCTCACCCGCCCCACCTCTTCACAGGCACTCACCAATGTGTGCGTAGGTAGCAGGGACGGGGTCAGCGCTGGCCCCGGCGCCTGCAGCCCGGAGCCAGTTCCTGATCCTGGAGTCCTTTCGGGTCCTGGCCCACCCAGCAGGCTCGGGCTGAGTGGGAGCTCCAGGTCCCGGGGCTTCCGGCCCTTCTGAGGCTGGGCGATCTCTGTGCTGGAAGCAGCGGAAGCCGCGAGGCCGCCCACCTGCGCTGCAGTCTCCATGACGACCGCGGGCAGCCGGGTCGGCACGCCCTCCGCAGGAGGGACTTCCGGCCCGGCCTTAGCGGCTTCCTGCACAAACCCCGCCTCCCCACCGACTGCGGCTTCCAACTCTTCCTTGGGCCCGTCCACTTTCACTTCTGGGGGCAGTGGCCTGCCCAACCCAGGCTCCACATTCAGCTCTTCTGATTTAGGGTTCTGGGCCTCGGGTGGGGTCAGGATGACCTGGAAGAGGAGTGGGGGGCGGGCAGAGGGGTGCGTAAGGATTGCTGGGTTAGTGAAGCCAAGGACTTGTCTTGGAAAGTACGACTTTGTATTCTGGGGGGGGGGGTGCATGACTACACATCAAGGCAGGTCCAAGAGCAGGAGGTGGGGCTTTGTCAAGGATGTGAAGCTTCTTCTGGCAGCTTCTCTTTGGGGACAGAGCTTCCCCTAAGGGTGGGCCTCGTGGAGATACTGCCCTCATTCATGAAAGCAGTGGTTCTCAAAAATTTGCTTTAGTAGCATGTGCCTCATCTGGAAACTTCTTTTAAAAAAAAAAAACGAATTCTTGGGACACTTGGGTGGCTCAGTGGTTGAGTGTCTGCCTTTGGTTCAGGGCATGATCCCCAGTCCAGGGATTGAGTCTCGCACAGAGGGAGCCTGCTTTTCTCTGCCTATGTCTCTGTCTCTCATGAATAAATAAAATCTTAAAAAACAAATACAAACGAATTCTTGTGCTCATCGCAGATCCATATAATGAGAAACTTTGAGGGGCAGGCCCCAGAAATCTGTCATTTAAATAAAAAGCCCCCCAGGTGATTCTTTTTTTTTATTTTTTTAAATTTTTTTTTAAATTTTTTTTTTTTTTACGATAGTCATACAGAGAGAGAGAGAGAGAGGCAGAGACACAGGCAGAGGGAGAAGCAGGCTCCATGCACCGGGAGCCCGACGTGGGATTCGATCCCGGGTCTCCAGGATCGCGCCCTGGGCCAAAGGCAGGCGCCAAACCGCTGCACCACCCAGGGATCCCTCCCCCAGGTGATTCTGATGGACACTAAGGTGAGAGAACCTATGCATTAAGCAAATAAATTCAGGGCACCCTGCCTAGCTTAGTACTTGTATGGCTCTCCTTGGTAACCCCCTCTCCCAAGGAACCTCTGTGTCCCTCCTTCCACTATATCTAAATAGGATGTTTATGTCCCTTCTACCAGCACCCCTCCTCATCTGGGAACTGTACATCCACTCTCTTACTGAATTTCCATACTCCAGTCCTTACCTGCAGAGGCAGGCCAGCCTCCTCCGCCTCCAGGCAGGCCTCCAAGGGGCTTGGACTGGTGTTCCTGCTCCCAGACGGGGGCACTGCTGCTCCTGAAGGGCCGGTGTTGGGGAGCACTGAGGCAGGCCGAGGATGAGGGGGTGGCTGTGGCTGTGGCTGCAGGGACTGGATGGTGAAGGTGGAATAGAGGCCTGAGCGCATGTATTCATTGCGGCTGCTGCGCGCCAAGCCACCGGGGCCTGCCATTCCTGTACCCTTGGGTGGGCCCGATTTCCCCGAGGCAGGATCCCCGGGGACAGCATGTACAGTGGCGGGAGCCACATTAGCCACAGTAGAGGTGATAGACACCTCGGGCTGTGGTGGGCAGTCCTCAGTGGAGCACCTCGCGACTTCCGGGTAGGATACAAACTTGTAGACAAATTTCTGGCCGCTCACTTTGCGGATGATATTCTGGGAAGGGAGGAGACAGGATAAAGGACCTTAGAAGAGAGGACCAGAGTGGAGGGAGGATATGGATGAGGGGGCAGAGGGGTGTGTCTCCTAGGGTCCTTCTTTCCCCTCTCCTGTCTTTTTACATATACGCTATTCCTCCTCTGTCTGCTCTTGATTGGGTATCCCCCACCCCGGCTGACTTCTTACCGGTGTCTTTCCCAATCTGGGGACTTCTCCCTTCTCCTTCTGTTTCTACTCCTCTTCCCCATTGTGATTCCCCTCTCTGTATTCTTCCCAGTTTCTCTCCTTTCTCTCTTCTCCCTTCCACAGCTCTTCTTTTAGCCTACTGCCCTTTTCCCCTTGCCCGGTCTCCATTCTGTGGCTCCTCCCCATCCATCCCTCTCATCTCCTCATAGCTCTTCATCTCCATCTGTCCAATCCCCCACCCCCACATCCTGTGGTCGCACTCCATAGTGGGGCCCACCTAGGAGTCAGTGCAGGAGCAGGCTTTCTTCCTGGCTCCAGGAACCAGGGGTGTCTGTGGGCTAATTGGGCCCAGGCCTTGGGGGTGGTTGCCAGGGCAGTTGTGGAGTGTAGCTGATGCAGCAAGACAAGAAAATGAAGTAACTGATGTAAATATTGGAAGAGACAAAATTAAGATTGAAGAATGCCGGGATGAATTATTAACACAGAGGATTATTTAAAGCTATTGGTCTAGATGTAGAACAGGGCAAGGTCACTAGGGGGAGAACAGGCTGAGAAGCCTCATTCTTTTGTTTTTGTTTTTGTTTGGGGGCTTTTTTTTTTTTTTTTGGTTGTCATAGTTTATTTCTTGTTCTAGTTGTAACTGAGGAGCCTCATTCTTAGTACTATGGTACGGGTTTAGGCTAAGGCAATTAGAAAATGAAGTGACTGATAGCAACTAAGATAAGGCCATTAAAGTACTGGCATACATATTGGGGGGAATCTCGAGGCTGGCAGGGTGGATCGCAGAACATGTTTGGAATATTACAGGATAGGTCTGGAGGGTCCCAGGGATGTTGCGGTGGTCTCAAAGCACAGAATGAGGCAGCCTCAATATTGTTTTGGAGGTTTCAGCTAAAGGAATAAAATATGAGAAATCAGAGAATCAAATAAATGCTATAATTTATGGCGTGTAGCATAGGTCTAGGGCTGTTGTGGGGGACAAGAGGCATCTGGGGGGCACTAGGGTATCCTAAAGACATCTTAATGCTGGTCAGGTATGTCACAGGGTGGGTTTGTGTTTTTCAGAAAAGGAATGAAAAGGGATATTCATTAATGTTTTGGAAGTTTCAGATAAGAAAGAAAATGAAATAGCTGGTATGTTGTCAGGGAGGAGAAATCCAGCACCGGTCTGGGAGTCTGAAAGGATGAGAAAAATTCAAAGTTTTAGCTATAGGAGTAAGATGATAAAATAATACACACTGATGGGATGCCTGGGTGGCTCAGTGGTTGAGCATCTGCCTCCAGCTCAGGGCATGATCCCAGGGTCTTGGGATCAAGTCCCACATTGGTCTCCCCACAGGGAGATTGCTTCTCCTTCTGCCTAGGTCTCTGTCTCTCTGTGTCTCTCATGAATAAATAATTAAAAATCTTCAAAAAAATACACACTGGGATGGACCAGCATTGCTCTAAAAATGCATGAGAATAGGGTATAGACCTGCACTGTACATATTGTTTTGGAGGTTTCAGCTAAAAGAATAAGAGAAGAAAATAATTGATAAAAGTGTTCTGGATCCCACAGCATGAGGTAAGAAAAGGTTAGTACAATATTGTAATAGACATTCTAATGCTGGGAATAAGAATATTCTGGAATAAGAGTAGGTTATGAAATAACTGAAGAAGTCCAGGATTGGTCCAGTTACAGAAGGCAGGAGGAGAAAGAGTCATTATTAATGGTGCTTTTGTAATTTTTAGCTATAGGAATAAGAAAATGAAATGTGTGGGGTGTGGTGGAACAGTATGACTTTGAGGGCCTCAGAAAGTGGGTTAGTAGGGGTCAGTATTAATAATACTATGAAGGTTTCAGCCAAAGTAGTAAGACAAAGAAAATACCTGAGATAAATGTTTGAGGTGCCCAAACATTGGTCTAATAGTACGAGAGGATAGGGTAAAAAATAGTAAACTCTGTTTTCAAAGTTATAGCTATGACAAGACAAGAAAATGGAATAACTGCCATAAAAGTTGGTGGTTCCCAGTCCTGGTTTCAGAGGCCTTACCTTGTCATAGTAGTACCGCAGGGCCCGGCTGAGCTTGTCATAATTCATGTTGGTCTTGTTCTTACGCAGCCCCCACAGCCGGGCCACCTCCTCAGCATCCACCAGCTTGAACTCACCGCCATCCCGTGAGGTCCAGGAGATGATGTGGCCATTGCCTTGCTCTCTCAGCAGCTGCAGCAGAAACTGCCACAGCGTCACAGAGGGGTCCATCACTGGCGGAGTGCTCACGCCATCCCAGGGGTACCTGGAGGGCAGATAGCTCAGAGCTGAGAGGCTGAGAACACAGAAGGAGGCAGAGGTCAGCAAGAGGAGGATTCCTTTCTTGCCTTCTTGTCTCCACCTCTGTCCCCAAAGCCTACCATCATTCCCTAAACACCTTCCGACTAAATTCTAAGCCCCTCAGCCTGGCTTTAGAGACTCACCAGAATGGTAGGAGACTTTTGGAGACAAGAGGACATTGTGAATGTATTTTGTATGTGGGACAAATATGCATCTTTGGGGGCCAGAGGGCAGACTATGGTAGGGAAAATAATGCCCTCTCAGAAATGTCCATATCCTAATCTCTGGCACTTATGAGTGTGTTATGTACATGACAAAAGGAACTTTGCAGATGAACTTAGAGTTATAATAGTTCCCTCTTATCTGAGGGGGATCCGTTTCAAGACCCTCAGTGGATGCCTGAAACTGTGGACAGTACTAAATCCTACATAGACTATGTTTTTTCCTATAAATATACACAGTTTATGTATAAGTTTAATTTACAAATCAAGCACAAGGGATTAACAATACCTGAACAATTATGGCAATATACCATGATAAAAGTTATGTGAATGTGCTCTCTTTCTCAATATCTTATCGTTCTGTACTCACCCTTCTTCTTATGATGATGGGAGATGATTAAATACCTACATAATGAGATGAAGTGAGGTACTGACGTAAGCACTATAACACAGTGTTAAGCTACCACTGACCTTCTGATGATAGGTCAGGAGAATCATCTTCTCCTTGACCACGGGTAACTGAAACCATGGAAAGCAAAGCTGTGGATAAGGGGGTATTACTGTACGGACCTCAGGGAGATTGTTCTGGATTGTTTGAGTGAGCTGAATCTAATTGCAGAAACACTTACTAAAAAAAAAAAAAAAGGAAGAGGCAGAAAGAGAGCTCAGAGAGATGCAAGGACAGAAGAGGCAGGAGAGATTCAAAACATGAGAGGGACCTGATTTGCCATTACTGGCTTTGAAGCTGGAAGAACAGAGCTCCAGCCCAGGAATATGGTTGGCCTCATAAATGTGGGAAGGACCCTCAGCTGACAGTCAGGAAACAGAGACCTTAATCCTACAACCTCAAGGAACTGAATTCTGCCAGCAACTCGAATGAGCAGGAAACAGGTCATTCCCTGGAGCCGCCAGGAAGAAACACAGCCCTGCCCACACCCAGGTTGCAGCCTGGTGAGGCTATGTTGGACTTCTGACCTCCAGAGTGCCAAGATAATAGTTTGCATTGTTGTTTTAAGCAGCTTGTGACTTGTGATCATTTGTCACAGCAGGAGTTGAAAGCTAGTATAGTGGGGATCCCTGGGTGGCTCAGCGGTTTAGCACCTGCCTTCAGGCCAGGGCCTGATCCTGGAGTCCCAGGATTGAGTCCCACATCAGGCTCCCTACATGGAGCCTGCGTCTCCCTCTGCCTGTGTCTCTGCCTCTCTCTGTCTCTCATGAATAAATAAATAAAATCTTTTTTAAAAAAAGCTAGTATGGTGCTCCTCACCTGAACGTTTTCATTTGCATCCTCTGTTACACCAGACATGAAGTTTTCTAGGAGGTTCCTTCTGCTAGCACATTGCAAAAGCTGTTTACTCTGTGGGGCTCCCTTCTTCTACCTAGAAGTCTTCCCCATCATCTGAGTTCCAGCCACAGGAGTCTTGCCTTTCTGAAGCCTTCCTGAAACTTAGTGCCTGCTCCCTCTGCTTTGCATTCCTCAGGCCTCTTACTGTCTGTATTCTCCTTCTTGATAACAGCAAAGACTAACATTTGTTGAGCTCATAATACTTGGCTGGCATTGTTCAAATCAGACAATATGGCCTACCAGACCATAGCTCAGGCTCTAGGGCTGGATTGCCAGGATTGGAATCCTGATTCTGCTACTTATTAGCAGTGTGACCCTAGGCATATTCTTTAAAATCTTTCTACCTCAATTTTCCCATCTGTAAAATAGGGATAATAACACACTCACCTGTAAAATAGGGATAATAATAATACCGAGTTCATAGAGTTATTTTACAGATTGAATATATTGTGCCTGGAGTGTGAGAAGCTTTTAATGTAGTTTCCAATTTGTTCATAATTCCTTATCTGCTATTCCAAAATCCCCAAAGCGCTAAAAACAAAACTTGGGGCACCTGGGTGGTGCAGTCGGTTAAGCGTCTGACTCTTGGATTCTGGCTCAGGTCATGATTTTAGGGTTGTGGGATCGAGTCTCTGCATCTGGCTCTGTGCTCAGTGTCCCATCAGCTTGGGATTCTCTCTCTCCTTCTCTCTCTGCCCCTCTCCTCTGAGCACACACCAGCTCTTGCTCTCAAATAAATAAATCTTTGAACAAACAAAAAAAAACCCCTTCTTTATAACCCTTTGGGCAGCAAATCCAGATGTAAAATGAACAAGGCCCTTCCTGGTCTTTATTGATTCTCACTTAGCATGATCGCTCAAACATTCTGCTACAGAAATCTGAATGTGGCTGATTACTGAGCCCACTGAGGGGGTTATGTAACATCTTGTATGTGCCCCTTGCCACCTTTCTAAAATCTGAAAAATCTGAAATTCTGAAACACATCTGGCCCCAAGCGTATTGGATGAGGGCATGTAGATCTGTACTGCTATTTTTATAGGTACTGACTCATTTATCTTTCATCACAACTCTGGAAAGTAGGTGCTCTTTATTATCACTCATTTACAGAGGAGGAAGCGGAGGTACAAAATGTCCAGATGACGTCTATGGGCCACAGAGTGTAAGTGGCACAGCCAGGCTTTAGACCCATGCAGTCAGATTCCAGTCGTCGTCGTCTAAGCATGTAACCATTAGGCAAACCTGCCCTCCATGCTGCTCCCTCAGCATGTCCTGTAGAGAACAGGACCCTCCCTGTTCACTGCAGCCCCCCCCTCCTCCCATAACTGCCCTCTTCGCTGAGGGTGAATTGGAAGTAAACACGAAGCTTCCTATTCCTGAAGGAATGAGCTTTCATCAGTCAACTGTTCACTGGCTGGGACTGTTGGATTAAGAATAAGACCTTCCAAACCAGGTTTCAAAGAACCTTTCTCTGTTATTTGTAGCTTCATTCTTTAATATGTAAGGAAATACACAGTATATGATCCTTTCTCGTGTCGGAGCGCTTAATGAAGTTGGCTGAGCAGACACAATTTTGGGCTATTATGCAAGTCACAAAGCCACGGAGTGTCCACATTTGAGAGTCCTGTCATCAGAGACTTCACTGGGTTTACTTCAAAGACCTGCTTGTTTCAGAGCACACAAAGAGTTCAGTGTGACTCCTGGTGGTGAAGACAGGCAATTTTACTAGTTCCTCTTTTGGCTGCAACAGGACCTACCCATTAAGGGAAAATCTGACCGGCTGCGCCAAGCCTCAACAGCACACAGGGTTTTGTATTTTGGTTATTACTGTATTTCCCACCTGACCCCTAATAAGTGTCCTAGTAATCTGCCTTACTCAGATGGGTTTACTTCTCTGTCTCGTTCATTTAGCGAGCATCTTTGAGCGCCTCCTGTGGGGTCAGCACCTATTGAGTGCCTCCTGTGAGCGCCTCCTGGAGATACAGCAGTGAACAAAACAGAAATCCCTGCTCTTGGGGAATTCATGTTTTAGTGGGGAAGACCGTCAGAAAAGAAGAGAAAGGAGTGAAAGAGTACGTCAGCTGGTGAGAAGAGCTATGGAAAAAAGTGAAGCAGGGGAGGAGTTGTTATTTTTGAAAGGGTAGTCAGGGGAGGGTTAGGCACTGCACAGGTGACATCTGAGCAAACACCTAAATTAAATGAGGCAAGAGAGTCAGGTCTGTGATGACGCGGGCAGCAGGTGGATCCAGGCAGGGTGAATGACCCTGAGGCTAGACCACACTGGGCAGGTCAGAGGAAGACAGTGGAGCAGGGCAAGGTCAGAGAGGAGGGAGTAAGCGTGCAAAAAAGTAGCAGGAGGTGAGAAGAGAAGGGCCGTGGGGCCCAGACTGAGTGAGGCTTTCTCAGGCCCTTGTGCAAGGACTCTGATGCTGGCTGAGAGAAGAGCCACAAGGGGGTCATGAACGGGGGGGGGGGGGGGGACCAGGCCGTGACTTGCATTTTAACAGGATCCTTCTGGCTGTTATGAGGAGAACCGAGTGTAGGGGCTGAAGAGGCTACTGTGACAGTCCAGGTGAGACTTGCAGTGGAACTGCTGGGGGAATGGCTGACTTCTGGATGAAATATGAACACAGAGTGAGCAGTGTTTGCTGACAAAGTATGAGGCAGGGAAGGGAAGTGAGAGACAACAGCAAGGGTGAGTCTAGGTTTGTGACCTGGTCGCCTGGAAGGATGGAGCCAGGACCCACGGAACCGGGAGCACCACAGGAGAGCTGATTTTGAGGCAAGGTCAGGAGGTCAATTTTGGAGATTGTCTCAGAGGCCTGTTAGACACCTGTATGTATGCTGTGAGTAACAACAGTGGTTTTAAGAACAGTCATACAACTATTTTCCTGTGTGTCACACATCGTTTTGAACATTTAACTCATGCAACCATCACAGTCACACTGTGGGGTGGGATTATGATCCTCCCATTTTCTAGATGAGGAAATAGAGGCATAGAGTTTAGTCATTTGCCCAAAGTCATGCAGCTGGAAGTTGGCAGAACTGGGGTTCAAAGCTGGGCAGTCTGGCTGCAGGTAGAGATCCTAGCACTTTACAATACCAGCTCTCTATCAAGAGAGACAGAGAGGGAAGACCCTAGAGGGTGAGTGGGGAGGGTTCCCTGAGAAGAGACACGTGAGCAGAAACGGGGAGGATGGGAGGTAGCTAGCCATGTGGACATCTGTGGACATTGTGTACAACGACTCTAAGGTGGCCATGAGCTTGGCACTCTACATCACAGGCATGGTGAGCTCACCCATTTCCCACCTCTGAGGCTATGTACGTGCCCTTCCCCTTTCTCATGCCCGATAAACTCTTTAATCATCAAATTCTGCTATCTTCCAGACAGAATGAATCCTTCCTCTGTGTGATCCAATGTGCTGAATAAACTGTCTGCTCTTGCAGATCTGTTCTCTCTGGGCCTTTGGTCTCCCACTCCTCTGCCTTGTTCTAGCTGTGCAACCTTGAGCAAGTTACTCAACCTCTCTGGGTCTGTTTCTGCATCTGTAAAATATCTTCAAAATATACTAGTCTTAAAGGCTTTTGTGAGGATTTAGTGTCAATACATGTAGAGGACTTAGAAAAGTATCTCTGGCATGTGGTAGGCACTCGACAAATGTTAGTTAGCTCTTAGCTTGTCTATCAGCCTTCACCCTCCCACCAGCCTCCAACCTTATGTATCACCACGGCCTATACCATCTGGCTCCCATCACCGCTCTGACCTTGCCTCCTGCTTGCCTGCCTGCCTGCCTGCCTGTCTCCCTCCCGCCCTCTGCTCTGCTCCAGCCACACTGGCCTCCTTCACATTTCTTGAATGCACTAGGCACAGTCCCACCTCAGGGCCTTTGCACTGGCTGTTCCTTCCACCCCCAGAACACTCTTCCCCTAGATATTTTGTCTTCCTCCCTGATCTCCTTCAGGCCTTAACTCAAGGGTCACCTTCTAAGTAGAGGCCTGCCCAGTGCCCAAGATTTCAATCACTCCCGTACTCTCCCTGTCTTCCCGACTTCACTTTCCTCCTTAGCGCCTAACATACTATCTAATTTTACTTACTGTTTTATTTATATAGTCCGTCTCCCCCACTTTTAGCAAACATCTGCTCCACAAGGGCAGGGATTTCTGCCTGTTCTGTTCCTTCCCATATCCCCAGCACCTAGAAGAGTGCCTGGTACTCAGTAGGTGCTAAATGTTTACTGAATGAACAGTCCCAACTAGCTTCTTTAGCTAGCTTTCGTATACCCTCTTCATCTCCAACCCTTCCCTCCCCTTGCACCCTGATTTGTCTGAAATAATATTTTTCACCTTCATGCATGCAACAAATTCTTATTGAGCACCTAGTATATACTAAGTATATTTACCCACCAGTAAATAAGCAGACAAAAAAACTAAACCCTCATTGGACTGACTGTTCTAATGAGGAGAGACAGTGAACTGGTAAACTACACAGTGTGTCTGATAGTGATGAAGGGCAAAGGGGACCACTACCGCAGAGAAGGAACCTGAGTCCTGTTAAGTATGTAGGTTCAGATGATCAGGGGCAGGCTGACATTTGGATAGAACTCTGAAAGGACTCACATACAGATCAGGGGAACGACGTTATTCCAGGCAGAAAATATAGCCAATGCACAGGCCCTCAGGCTGGGCTGTATCTGGTGTGTTTGATTTGAGGATGAGTGAGGAGCTTTGTATGGCTGGAACAGAGTCAGAGGGACAAGGTGCAGGAGGTGCAGCCAGAGAGGTTACTTGTCTTATTAACTCTCAGGTATGTTCACACTGGAGGGGATTCTGGTTTTGATGCCTCCATTTTACAAATGAGGAAGCAGGTGTGGAGAGAAAGTGGTTAAATCACTCAGATCATATGGCTGCTGCGATTGCGGGTGGATGGGTGCTGAGAAAAGGTGTGGAATAGAGACAGCTCTGCAGGCGGGGGGAAACTAGCAAAAACAAAAGCTTGGAGACAGGAGGTGCTTTGTTTTTTAAGGAGTGGGGTCTCATGTGGCATAGGATGAAGTGAGAGAGGGGATCCTCAAAAATTATTCTGTGTTCTGAGGGGCAACCTAACTGGGTACTTACCTCTGAATAACGTATCGAGCCCCTTGTGCCGAACTTTCCTGAGTACCTGTCTCAAAGGATTGTGGTGAGGACGAAATGAGGTCACGGATATAAAGCACTTTGCCAGGTACCTAGTAGGTGCTCAATAAACGTTAGCTCCTAATGGCATTATCGCTATCTTGAATGCATCCATTTATTGCAGTGAGGCAGAATGTCTTAGGGATTAATGATGTGTACGAGGGGGGTGTGTTCTAGAGTAAAAAAGAGCCAGGTTCAACAAGCACACAGAATGATCCACCATTAAGAAGAGAGGGAGCAGGGAAGGCCATGGACTGATCCACCACAAGGAAAGGAGGGACAAAATAAAAGCACCCTCCTGGAGAAGGGATTACAAAGCACTGGACTCAGGGGAGGGTATGGGGGTGTGTGCCTGGATGCAAGCACATGGGGAACAGGAAGGCCAATGAACAGATCCACTGCAAAGGCGGGGGTGGAGGGGAGTGCAAAGGCTCATCTTCTTTATGGGGGGCAAGGGGAGCAGAAAGGCACGCTGCACAAGAGTAGATGGGGTGAAATGCCATCACACGGGCTGATTAAAAGGAGAAGGGAACAAGGCCATGGAATGAGCTACTGAAAATGGGGAGTTCAAAAACACGAAACTGACCCACTATTAAAAGGAAGAGAGAAGCCCAAGGGCTGGAGAAACAGTCTGGAAAAAAAAAAAAAAGAGGCTAGGGCAATGGGCTGATAACGACAAGGGATGTGGATACTAGAATTCAGACCGATACACTGTAAAAGATAAAACCATGGGACTGATGCACTGGGGGACTGGAGGAGGCAGGAATACAACTTCACAGATTAACTCACTGTTAAAGGGGGTGCGGGGGGGTGCACCACGCCATGGACTGATTCACTACAAGGAACAGAACTACAAGGCCACAGACGGGGCCCTTGAAAGTTGAGGACAGGAGAAAATAAACAGTCAGATGCACCTTCTGTCAAGGAGGGACAATGCCCGAGGCAGCTCCCCTCTAAGTGGGGGTGGGGGCGGGGCAGGACCACGGACGAGTCCACTGTAAGGTGGGGTGGGGAGAACTATAAGCACGCGGACCGATCCATTATAAAACAGGAAGGGGGGTCAAGCCACGGTCAGATCGACTACAAGGGGCGAAGGGAGGGGACAATACCACAGGCAGGTCCACTAGCCGTGGCGGTGGCGGTGGGCAGTTGAACACCAGCAGGCCATGGGCCAAGCCACATCCCTCGCGCGGGGGCGGGAAGGATACGTGGGGTCACGGACGGGCCCTCCACCCTCCAGGCCCCGGGCTCACCTGTGTGTAGCGCAGTGGCAGTATTGGCAGCTCCGGGGGGCGGGGGCTCCATGCGCAGCCCCACCGCCCCCCAGGCCCGGGCTCCGAGGTGGCGGCAGCGGCAGCGGCGGCGGCGGCGGCGGCGGCGGTGGCGGCAGCACCTAGAAGCCGCCCCTGCGTTTCCTCACGGCTCACGTGGGCCTCTGGAGGAGGAGCCGAGCATTCCGCGGCTGGTTGATTGGACACAGCGCCTTGGCTCGACCGCGCGGCTTCCAGGGTTGGGGAGGCGGGCCCTGCCCCGCAGAGCTAGGCCATGATTGGCCCGAAGAGAACTGATGGAACGCAGATAGCCGCCTGGGTTCCGAGGGGGCGTGCTGGGCCCCGCTGGCGCTTCACGCTGATTGGCCCAAGGCTGACAGCCTGTGGGCGATTGACAAGATTCTGGGGGCGCCTGCCTGATAATAATTGGCCCGCATGGAAGACGGCCTCCGAGGATAGGGGCGGATGGACTCTGCTTTCTACTGATTGGCGGACTAGGGACTCCAGACAGCTGCCAAAACACCAACTGGGCGGTGCTGCACTCCACGCTGCCCAGCGGAAGCGGGACTTATATGGAAGTGGGCGTAGCGGCAGGCTGGGAGGGGGTCGGGCCAGGACTGTGCGTAGGTGGGAGGATAACTCCTTCGTGATTGGGTAGAAAAGACGAGTTTAGGACAGCAGAGATAGGGTTGGACAGCGGCCAGGCACGCAAAGGAGCGTTGAGTGGCGGAAACTAAAGCCTAAGAGGAGGTCAGCGTTGAGCCTCAGCCAGTTATAAGGGGGCAGAACCTGGCTCTGCAATGATTGGCGGAAACTAGACTCAACCTAAAATAGGGGCCGGCCCGGGGAGGGCGGGATCAGGCTCTGCGCCCATTGGTGGAAGCTGAAATTAGTTAGAAGCCGGGTGAGGCCAAGGTTGGAACAAGACGGGCGTGGGTGTAATCTAAGGTACCCCAGTAATGATTAGGGTGGGGGAGAGGGGCAAACTTTAGGGCCAGGAATGAAAGGCTGACTGTCTTGGGAACAAACCTCCACCCTGAATCAGCCCATTCTCTATGATTAAGACAGTTACGTCCAGGAAGATAGAAGGGTCAGGTGGGAGGCCCAGGTTGCCAAGGCGACAGAAAAGAGGGCAGAGCAGAAAGTCAAGTGGCAAATGCTGCCAGGCAACAGGCTGGAGGCGGGACTTCAGGGGTCCTTTAAAGGTTCCACATAGAGACTGGCTCTCTGGGGTTCCTGGTAACTTCGTGCTTTAGAAACAGGGCACCTTAGCAAACAGCAAAGGGTTGAGGTGGGGAAAGAAGGGCCATGTGACTCAAAGGCATTCAGGCTCTTTAATGTCTACGGAGGCGGGAAGAAGTCAATAGTGAGGTGTCTCCGGGAAATTCTGCAGGCCTTGTAGTTCTCTAAGCCCCTGAAAAAGAGGATAGAAGAGATTGAACAGAGATTGTCTAGGCCTCAGCCCAGGCTTGCTCTGACCTCCCCTCCCTCAGAGCCAGCCTGGTTCCTGCTTAGAGAGGAAGATGGTCCTTCCCATCCCTGGCTCTCTCCCTTCGTCGGGTCACACCACCCTGAATACATTTGGAGACAGAGTCTGGGAATGGGGTGAGGTGCTCTCACCTCTAGCAACATGTGGATATGGGCCTTGATATTCATGGAGTCCTTGGTGAGACTGTCGCTGAGCCTGGAGAAAAGAAACAAGAAAGGGCCAAGTGGGCCCCACTTAGGCTCATGAAGATGATTTTTCCTCATCACTTCAAGAACTGCCTATGTCCTGGATGATTTCCACATGGCAGGTGGTAGGACATGTTACTACTTGACCTGCTCCTATGCAGAGATGCCTGGCCACCATCTGGGCTGCACTGATTCAAAGAAATTTATTGAATCCCTACTCTATGCCAGGCAATTTTAGGTACTGGGAGATAACAGCAAACACAACAGACAAAAATCTCAGCCTTATGGAGCTCAAGTTCTCGTTAAGAGGGACAAATTATGGAATAACATATAGAGTATTTCAGAGGGTTATAAGTAAAATGAAAAAGTTAAATGATAAGAGAGGATGAGTGCAGGAGTGGGGGCTGCAATTCTAATGAGAGCACTTACAAATGGCTGTGCGAGAAGCATTTGCATAAAGAGTTAAAGAAGATGATCATGAGGATAGATGGAAGATGAATGTTCCAGACACAAGGCCCAACACATTGAAAAATGATGAGGTAGGAGTGTACCTGGCATGTTTGAAGCACAGCAAAGTGGCTGGCATGGCTGAAGAAGAATAAGGGAAGGGGAAACTGTAGAAGGTGAGGTCAGAGAGATAAGGTGGGGAGGCAGATCATGTAAAACTCACAAGGCCATGGTGAGGACTCTTGACGTTTACTCTACGTGAGATTGGAGCCAAGGGAGGCTTCTGATCAGAAAAGGAATGTGAAATGACAAGGGTTTTTTAAAAAATATTTTCTTTGAGAGAGAGACAGAGAGCACATGTGTGTGCATGAGCAGAGGGAGGGCTCCTGTCCGGCTACAGGGAGAGGGAGAAGCAGACTCCCTACTAAGGGTATAACCCCTGATATGGGGCTCAATCCCGGGTTGCTGAGATCATGACTTGAGCTGAAATTGGACCCTTAACTGTTTAACTGACCAAGCCACCTAGGTGCCCCACTGACCAGGGTTTAAGAGGATTCATCTGGTTGCTGTGTGGAGGACTGAGGATAAGGAGAGCTAGTGTGGAAGCAGGAAGTCCAGTGGGAAAGCTACTGTAATAGCCCAGGTGAAAGAATGGAGACTTAGACTGCAGTGTCAGCAGCTGAGGTGATGATTAGTGACTGCATTTGTAATATATTTTGAAGGTAGAGTCAACAGGATTTACCAAATGGTTGAATGTCAGCTGTGAGAGAGAGGACTTAAGGAAGATGCCAAGGCCTAAGCAACTGGAAAGGTGGAGTTGCCTCAAACCACTCTGGCCCTTGACTGCTGAGTTACATATACCGGTCAATTCCTTATATCTTCTTTTTTTAAAAGATTTTATTTATTTATTTGACAGAAAGAGAGAGAGAGAACACAAGCAGGGGGAGCAGCAAGGAGAGGGAGAAGCAGGCTCAATTCCAGGAACCTGGGATCATGACCTGAGCTGAAGCCAGACGCTGAACTGACTGAGCCACCCAGGCACCCCAATTCCTTCTATCTTCTAAGCTGATTGGGATCAGACTCAGCCAACAGAATCCTAATTGATACAAAGGGCTAAGGAAGGCCCTTCTGAGGAATGAAGAATGAGTAAGAGTTAAACAGTAGGAGGGTCTTTTCCCCAAAAAGGCTACAAGGCAGGAAGGAGCTTTTGGAGGACCAGTCAGGAAGTCAGGGTGTTAGGAATTAAGTGACTGGTGGAAGGAAAGTGGTCCAAGAAAAGGTCCCAGAGGTAGGAAGGGGCTAGTTTACACAGGGTCTTGATACTGTCCTAAGGGAGGCAGACATTGTTGTGCTCAGCTATCTGTTCAAGTAGAAGGCAAATTAGATATGGTAAGGAGAGTAGAAGGTAACAACATAGAATGTTAAAATGGAAAAAAATACAGCACTATGAACCCGTATCTTGAATACCAAGATATTGGTATCTTCCAGATTTATATTTTCAGTTCAGACCCTTCTCCAGCCTTGGGAGTTTTAACTCTATCTTCAAAAACTCCACTTCACTGTTTAATAAGCACCTCATACTTAACTGGTCCTAGGTTGAACTCCTGGTCCTCCTCTGCAAATCTGCTCCTCCTCTATCTTCTCCCTCTCAGATAATGGCAACTCCATCCTTCCAGTTGTTCAGCCCAAAACTTTCACACCCTACAGCCAATCAAGCATTCTGTTTAAAATTGCAACTGCTCCATCCTAGGCAATGTTTCTTTTCCTATTTAAATTTTTTTTAAAGATTTATTTATTTGAGAGAGAGAGGGTAGTGACAGAAAGGGACAGAGAAACCTCAAGCAGACTCCCCGCTGAGCACAGACCCCCCCCAGCCCAACATGGGGCTTGATCCCAGGACCCTGAGCCTAGATCAAGAGCTGAGCAGAAGAGTTGGCAGCTTGACCAACTGAGCCATCCAGGCACTCCTCCTTTTTTTAATTACTAAAGTATAATTAACATGTAACCTTAGTTTCAGGGGTATAATATAATGATCAGATATTTGGATGCACTGTCAAACGATCACCACAGTAAAACTAATTACCATTTGTCATCATACAAAGTCATAAAAAATTTTTTCCGGGGAATGTTTCTCCTCTCCATTCCGGGCTGTTCTCTGTAGCACTGCCAACCTGTGACCTACTACATCATTTACTTCTTTTTTTATTGTCTGACTCCCCTGACTAGAATGTAAGCTATGTAAGGGCGGAGAACACAGACTGATCTGCTTTGTTCCCTGCTGTATCCCCAGGAACCAAACAGTATGCAGCACATAGTAGGCACCAACATATGCTGAATAAATAACTGAATAGACTACTCCATTCAAAGGAACCTGAAGTCCTCAGGAGATGGTTTGAGTCTATGTTTAAAGACAAGAAATCAATGAAGCATGGCACTGTTGCCCGAGAACAGGGATGCTTTCAAGAATATCTGGGGTAGTAATTCAAAGAACAGAGTAATGAACCTGATTGACTTCTAAGGACAATCTGAACATCAATAAAGAGAACAAAATTAGTTAATGGTACAAGCTTAGTCTAGGAAAGGCTATGAGTTGCAACACTTTTTAAAAAGGAGAAAAAGGGATCCCTGGGTGGCGCAGTGGTTTGGCGCCTGCCTTTGGCCCGGGGCGCGATCCTGGAGACCTGGGATCGAATCCCACATCAGGCTCCCGGTGCATGGAGCCTGCTTCTCCCTCTGCCTATGTCTCTGCATCTCTCTCTCTCTCTCTGTAACTATCATAAATAAATTTTAAAAAAATTAAAAAAATAAAAAAGGAGAAAAATACAAAGTCCACCAAATGCTAGTTGTAACACACAGGAGATGCTTCATTTTTTGCTACTGATTTAATAGGTAAAGCAGTATAAATACTCAAATGGTTACTGTCTGTTCTCTCTCCTTTTAAAAAAAGATTTTATTTTTAAGCAATCTTTACACCAAATGTAGGGCTTGAACCCACAACCCTAAGATAGAGTCACACACTCCAGCTACTGAGCCAGACAGGTGCCCCTATTCTGTCTCTTCTAGAGTTACATGTCTGTGGATGTGTACTCCTTTCTATATAATCAGGAAAGAATATACACACAGATCTGATACTCCCACTCCCCCAAAGAAATGTGCTAAAAGAAAGAATGGCTGACAGTCCTTTTGGTTGCATAAAATAACCCGAAAGAAAGTTAGTTCAAGGTGTGTCCCAAATAACAAAATATTTTAAAGAGGAGAGTGAGCTACTCAGACTCAAATCTTCATCTCCTAGGATGATTAAACTTCTAGGAAGCCCTCCTAATGATAATAAAGTAATAAGGGATCCAATCACATTTCTCATTCCAATAAACCAAGTCAATATATCAAAAAGACCAGACAAGTGGGAAGGCACTGACAATTTAAATACATTTTTGGGGAGAGATATCAAGTCTCAAAAAATGAAAATCTCTATCTGAAAGGCTCAGGAATTCTGTGACATAACAAGGAAAGCTCTGTTATAAAAAAAAATGGATGTGGTCTGAATGACCACTAGTTCAGAACTGTGTTGGCCCATGAAAGCAGGCCCCTTGACCCCTTCACTAATTGGTCTGATCACCAAGATTTAGAAATCTCGGCAGAGGGCGCCTGGGTGGCTCAGTCACTTGAGTGTCTGCCTTCAGCTCAGGTCATGATCCTGGAGTTCCAGGATCCAGTCCCACATCAGGCTCCCCGCTCAGTGGAGTCTGCTTCTCCTTCTGCCCCTCACCCGGCTCATTCTCTCTCTCACTCTGTGTCTCTCAAATAAGTAAATAAAATCTTAAAAAAGAAATTTCAGCAGATCTGAGGCTCTTTTGGGTCTACTAACACTTGGAAACCTTAGAAAGGTTTGAAAAGAGAAGAATTACTAAAACCAGAAGAGAAGCAACTCTGGAATAAATGAATGTAGGCATAAACAGAACCTAGAAGGCATTTTAGATCAGTGGTATTCACTCTTGTAAGATGGTATTAATCTAAGTGTTTTGCTTGGTATCCCCTCTCGTGGCATGTTTGCCAATCTTGGCAATTCTGCTAACACGGCACTCACAGTGGTCCCCTTGCCTGTAATGCTCTCCCCACAAAGCCCCAATGGCTTGTTCACTCAACCAAGAGACTCAAATGTCACTTCCCCGGAAGGCCTTTCCTGGCTACATTTCAAACCTCTCATCCACACTCCCAATTTCCCTTCCCTGCACAAAGCCTTAAACTCAACTGGAGCAGCCCATACTTTCTCCCTACATTACCTTCCTCTCCACCACCAGAGATGTGCTTCAATCCCCCCTCAATCTGTTCCTAGGATACCCTTTTAAATTCATTCAACAAACAGAGTACCTACTATATGCTATGTACTATTCTGGTCACTTGCGAATATAGACAAAATATCTCCCTTTGTTTTTGTTTTTTTAAAGATTTTATTTATTTATTCATGAGAGACACAGAGAGAGGCAGAAATACAGGCAGAGGGAGGAGAAGCAGGCTTCCATGAAGGAGCCTGATGTGGGATTCAATCCAGCAACTCTGGAGGCAAAGGCAGATGCTCAACCACTGAGCCACCCAGGCATCCCAATATCTCCCTTTGTAAAGCTTACATCCTAATGGGTGAAGGCAAGGAATTTTAGAAAGAAGTAAATTTCACAGCAAACATTAAGAGGTCATAAGTAGAACAAGGGAGGGGAATGAGGAGTGCCAGGGGCTGCAATTTTTTAAAAAAGATTTTACCCATTTGAGAGAGAGAGACAGAAAGAGAGCACAAGCACATGCCTGGGGAAGGGCAGAGGGAGAGAATCCCCAGCAGACTCACTGCTGAGCGCAGAGCCTGACATGGGGCTGGATCCCACGACCCCAAGATCATGACTTGAGCTAAAACCAAGAGTCAGATGCTCAACCAACTGAGCCACTCAGGTGCCCCCAGGGGTTGCAATTTTAAAGTTAGGTTACAGACAGCCTCGTTGAGGAGGTGACATTTAAGAAAGACTTAAACTATATACTATATGTTGGCAAATTGAAATTTTTTTTAAAAAAAGACTTAAACTGGGGATCCCTGGGTAGCTCAGCGGTTTAGCGCTTGCCTTCCACCCAGGGCGCGATCCTGGAGTCCCGGGATCGAGTCCCGCGTCGGTCTCCTGCATGGAGCCTGCTTCTGCCTCCTCCTATGTTTCTGCCTCTCTCTCTCTGTGTCTATCATGAATAAATAAATAAATCTTTAAAAAAACTATGAAAAAAAGACTTAAACTGAGTTAGGAAAAAGGAAGCTATGCATGTACCCAGGCATGTTATAGGCAGAGAGCACAGTTACCCTAAGGTGGGATCACTCTGAGGGTGTTTCAAGAAGCCCAGGAAGATCAGTGTGGTGAGAGCACAGTGAAGGAGCAAGAAAATTAGGAGGAGGTGAAATCGGAGGTAACTTGTTTTACTGTTATTGATTTATAGGGCAAAACCTCCTGGATCTGGTCAAAATTAGGCCCTCAAGGAACCCTTCTGTCTCGTTCACTGCGGCCTCTCTACTGCCAAGTACAGAACCTGGCATAGAACAGCCAACAAATGTGTGTGTGAATGAACAATACCAAGACCATTTATTGAGTGCTTCCTATGTGCTATTCTTGGGGCTGAGCTTTGCATCTCTACTTTCCTCAGCCCTAGCCCTGGGGAGGAGGAGAAATGGGCCCTTAAGTATCTATCATCTCAGAGAGCCATGGGGAAAGGGAAAAGGGTGTTGCAAATGGTGGTATTTTAGACACTTCATAGAATGGACTTACTCTGTGAGGAGATTGCTCTTACGATCAATGAACTTGAGAGCTTCTGCCAGTGTCAACTCCAGGAAAAAACCATATCCGAGGGCAACATAGATTCGTGAAGTGTCTGGGCTGAGGAAACAATGGTTAGAGGAAGTGGGGGAAGTCTTTATTACTGTTTAGCATACTATACAGTTTATTGGCAATTTTTTTTTACTCCACTCCTCCCACCTTCCCCAAATTAGAAGCTCTGAGAGGGCAGGGGTTTTGTCCTATTCGATTCACTGTCACATCCCCGGCACCTAGCACAGTGTCTGGTACATAGCAAATACTCAAAAAAATATTTGTTGCATGAAGGAAGGGGGAAGCTGAGCCCTGTGGGCTCAGAGGGGCAGGTAGACACTCACACAACTGTGTCAACGAAGAAGTTACAGCCCAAATCCACCTGCATATATAACTCCGAGGGGTTAGCTTCCTGTGGGGCCAGGGAAAAAGAGGTAGGGGTCAGTGGTCACCTTTCAGGTCAGCTGACAGGTTTTGGTCTGGGGTCTCTCCTCCCATCCCCCTCCCTTGCCCAAACACATCAAAATGGTCCCTAACCTTGGCTGTTTTTACCTGAAGTCGCTCAATGACATTTCTCAGTTGAAGGTATTTGGCCAGCTGCTCATATACCTTGTCGCGATGGTCCAGCACTTTTCTGATGGGACAAGAGGAAAATGGTGACCAACAGGAAGCCCTGGACCTGTCAGAATACCTCATATTATGACTGAGACCCTCATGTCACCATGCCTTAAAGAAGCATTTTAGTGCAGAAGTTGATTTGAATTGTGAGTCAGACTGCTTGGGTTTGAATCTAGGCTCTCCTTTTTACTAGTTGTGTGACTTCAGCAAATTCTTTAGGACTCATTTTCTCTTTAGGAGTCAATTTCCCTATCTTTTTTTAAGGGATCCCTATCCCTTAAAAAAGGGACAAGTATTACCTCACAAAGTCATTAAAAGAGAACTGTTTACTACAAAGCACTTACAATCGCGCCTAACCAAAAACTAAGCTCTATATATGTATTAGCTATTATTTATTAGTACTATTATCACATTCCGTCCAATCAGGATGTCCCATTCTCAAAAAAAAAAAGTGTCCCATTCTCACCCTAGAAAAATCTTCCATCCCTTTCAGGATGTTCATTATTCTGCTTCTGAATACTCTACTTCCTGCTCAGATTAATAGTGATAGTAACAATTTTTAATACTCATAGAGCCCCTAGTAGTCACATTAAATCCTTTACAAGGGGGGAATACATTAAAAACTCAAAACCACCCCATGAGGAAGGTTCCATGAACTTCCCCATTTCACAGATAAGAAAACTGAGGCACACAAAGGCGAGGCAGGGTACAACGTCTTCACACAGATGGCGAAGGGGCCAAGCCAAGGATTCGAACCTAAGAACTCCCGCTTTAGAATCTAGCTCCAAGGCTAAGTGAGATGGGAGGCCAGACAGGCGCGGACACACCCTCTACAAGAACCGCCACATCCCAGCCCAGTAGCACCCCGGATGTCGCTCCTCCTCGCCGGATCCGCGCACGGGGCTGGACTCCAAATGCCTCCCCCACCAATCAGAAGGCTAGACCCTGACTTTGGACGCCCCGCCCCCCCACGTGGAACCTTCCACACGTCCGGCCCTCCACGCTGCCACTCACCGCAGGTCCTGCTGTAGCACGTCACAGATGAAGGCCTCATAGCGCAGCACTTTCTCCCCCGTGACTTCCACCGCCCGCCGTTTAGGGGGCGTCGCCATGATGGGCTCCTGAGGAATGGGGAGCGGAGCAGACCACGTTGACCACACAGTTTGGCCTCAGGCACAGTACATCTGCACCCCCTCAACAGCGGGAGTGGGCTCGTTCGCCTCCGGCCGGGGGTTCCGCCTTCTGCCCCTCCCAACTCTGGGACTCTGCCACCCAGGGACACCCAAACGCGGCCCTCACCTTAGAGCCGCCGGCAATAAGAACGGTTGCTATAAACCATGGCTTCCGGGTGGCGCGGGTGAATGACGTACTACAAGGGCGCGGGCCAACCGAATAGCCGGGTGGGAAAGGCGGTTCTGAAGGGCTGGAAAGGGGCGAAGCGGAGGAGAGGAGGGCGGGGCTTTAGGGAATCCACAGAGTGTACTCCTGGCCGCGCGGCGTGGGAACAGGGCAGCGCGGAGCCTGTGGGGACTGAGCGTGGCTCGCGGGGGCGGGCCTTAATGGGATTTGGCGGGTTCCTGGGGGAGGCGGGGCGCACAAGTGGAGGGGGGAGAGAGAAGCGTTCAGTATTTAAAAGTCAGAGCTTCGGAAGCAGACGGGCAAGAATTGGTTCTGGTTCTGGTTTGTAAAAAGGAGAGTACATCCCGGGAACTGTCGCCATGGATTTTGATTTTTCGCACGGGAGATTTGGGTTTGATTCCCAGTAATGGGAATGATTGTGAGCATTAAAATTTTTTTTTAAACGGAGACAGATTCTCGGAAACTCAGCTTTGGTAACTCCAGTTTGCAACCTGCCATCCATAACTAGGATCCAAGCAGATATTGACAAAACACTATGTCTATTACCTCGTCTAATAGAGGCATCAGGTGGCGGGTCGCTGAAGTCCTCTGCTCAAGATCGGCTATTCTGTAGTTAGAAATGTTCCTGAGTCTTTATTTAAATGTATAAACTTTTATTTATTTGTATGCACTCAAGTTAATGAATTTATTTCCCATGTTACATTTTCAAATAATAGCATCATACCCAGCAAGTCTTGGCTGAGCCTGAAGGAGAACACAGATACCAAATCCCTCAAATGCTATGCCTGCCTATAGGGCCGAGAGCCCCCACTCATGCCAGTGATGTCTTCTCACATACTTTGTGTGTTTTGTGTGTAAAGGCAAGTTTTTCTTTCAAATGCTCAAAACCTAAGCACGTCAAGCTTTTCTTTGCCCTAAGAACAAGATGATTGGAAAGGACATGTAATTTTTTAAAATGTTTTTTTTTGTAAATCTTCAAATATTACATATAGTTAAAATTACATTTGGTGTGATTGAAATAGACACCAGGTAGTTAGACAACTATTATTGAGTTAATCTATACCATTTTCCTATGGGGAAAAAAAGAGGTGTTATGTTTATTATCTTTATTTATATATTTTAAAGATTTTGTTTATTTATTCATGAGAGACAGAAAGGCAGAGACACAGGAAAAAGCAGGCTCCATGCAGGAAGCCCGATGTGGGACTCGATCCTGAGACTCTAGGATCATGCCCTGGGCTGAAGGCAGGTGCCAAACCGCTGAGCTACCCAGGGTTCCCCCCATGTTTATTATCTTTAACACAAAACAACACAGAGTTCTGAAGAATTGAAGATAGGTCTGTGCAAATCTATTAACTTACATTTCATAAAACATTTTTTACTTTTTAAAGAAAAGGTTCTATTTATTTATCTGAGAGAGAGAGAGCATACATGCACCAGGGGAAGGGTCGGAGGGAGAAGCAGACTCCCAGCTGATCAAGGAGCCCAACTTGGGGCTTGATCCTAAGACCCTAGGATCATGACCTGAGCAGAAGGCAGACGCTTAACTGACTGAGCCACCCAGGTGCCCCCATTTTTTACTTTTTAAAAACATGTTACCAACTTTATTTTGACATTTTAAACCTACAGAAAAGTTGGCAGTGAACACCCATAGAGCCTGCATTTGGACTTGCCAAATATTAGTATTTGACCCCATTTGCTTTTTCCCTTTCTGAACCACATGGTAATTGTTGTCATGGCTGCATAGCATTCCATGTTTTGGATGGCCTCAGAATTTTTTTTAAAGATTTTATTTATTTATTCATGAGAGACAGAGAGAGAGAGAGAGAGGCAGAGACACAGGCAGGGAGAAGCAGGCTCCATGCAGGGAGCCTGATGTGGGACTCGATCCTGGATCTGCAGGATCAGGCCCTGCACTGAAGGCGGCGCTAAACCGCTGAGCCACCTGGGCTGCCCCGGCCTCAGAATTTTGAACCATTTCCTATGCTATTGGATGTTTGGATGTGTCCCAGTTTTTTTTTTTTATTGTTATAATCCAGGATGGGATAACAGTCTTCGGTTTCAGATTTTTGTTTACAAAATTATACAAAATAATTTTTTGTATTTGTTTTTGTTTTGTATTTGTTAATTATTTGTAATTGTTTACAAAATTATACAAAAAATAATTTACAAAATTATTTCCTTGTAATAAATTTCTAGATGTAGAATTATTGATCTAAAGGAGGTCACTGAATTGTCAATCAAGTATTAGCTGACAATTGTACATATTCCTGATAAACTTCCTCATCCAAGCTCTGCATCAGGGAAGAGTTTGCTGACCCTTGATGTTTTTCTACAGCCTGCAATCTAAGAAAACTGTTTTCACTTTTTTAAATACTTGAAAAAAGTAAGAAAAATATTTTGTGTCATTTGAAAATTACATAAAATTCAAATTTCAGTGTCCAATAATAAAGTTTTATTGGAACATAGCTGTACTCATTTACTTATTGTCTGTGGATGCTTTCATGCTTATTCCGGCAGAGTAGTTGCCAAAGAGACCATTTAGCCTGAAAATCCTAAAGTATCTACTATCTGGCCTTTTACAGGAAAAGCTTGCCAACTCCAATCATGTCAGCACTATACAACCCTGTGAATCACTAATACATATGTTAGGGTTAGTGGGCCTAAGTATGTGAGCCTCCCAAGCTTCCACTGGTGATTTCTTACCTGGGTTATGGGTGGGTGTTTTCAGGCTGGTGCTTCTGGGAGACATGAGGCAGACTGTGTCTCTCATCTCTATTTGTAATTTCTCTCCCTCCCAGCCAAGGAAGGAAGAGCAAGAAATGACTGAGGCCCAGATGAGTTAGAGCTTAGGTGTTCATTTACTGCCTACTTTATTTTCTACTGGATATTTGGAACCTGATAAGAATACATCTCATAAAATTGAAAAATAAAGGCAGGATCACAAAAAATGCAAACAAATAGAAGATTAATATCAGGGAAAATTGGAATGTAGGTATGAAATTCACTTCTGTACTTAACTGTGAATTTGTCTCTGATCTTCCTACCACAATAGCAAAAGGGGAAATGGAATCAGTTATGTGATTTGTATTGTCTGCGAGGAAAAAGCATACCAGTTCATCAGCTGAAGGAAGTATTTCATGCCATTTACCAGGAAACAGTAAAGTTAGAACTCCCTCTTACTTCCTACACTAAAATAAATTCCAGGCGGATTAAAGATTTAAACATAAAAATAGAACCATCAGTGTGTGAGAAGGAAAAAAATGGGAAAATATTTATTATTATCTTAGAGTGAAGTCCTTTCTAGTGATGACATAAAATTCTGAAGTCATGAGAGAATAATATATTGATACATTGTGTTCATAAAATTAGTGAATGCACAATTAACCTTAAAATCTTAAAGCCAGGGGGATCTCTGAGTGGCTCAGCAGTTTAGTGCCTGCCTTCGGCCTAGGGCATGATCCTGGAATCCCGGGATCGAGTCCCACATCAGGGTCCCTGCATGGAGCCTGCTTCTCCCTCTGCCTGTGTTTCTGCCTCTCTCCCTCCCTCTCTCTCTCTCTCTCTCTCTCTCTCTCTCATAAATAAAATCTAAGAAAAAGGAATGGATAAAAAAAATGCAAGACCCATGTATATGCTGCCTACGAGGGACTCATTTCAGATCAAAAGACATCTGCAGAATGAAAGTGAGGGGATGGAGATCACGCAAATGGATGTCAAAAGAAAGCTGGGGGTGTACCTGGATGGCTCAGTCAGTTATGTGTCTGCCTTCAGCTCAGGTCATGATCCCAGGGTCCTAGGATCCATGCTAAGCTCCCTGCTCAACAGGGAATCTGCTTCTCCCTCTGCCTAACCACCCCTCCCCCAGCTCATGCTCTCTCTGTCTTCTCAAATAAACAAATAAAATCCTTTAAAAAAAGTTCTAAAAACTGCAGTTGCAATACTTATTTTGGAAAAAATAGACTTTACAAAAAGACTTAAGAGACAAAGGACACTTTATAATAATAAAGGGGACAATCCAGCAAGAAGATAGAACAATTATAAATATTTATGCACCTAACATGGGAGCACCTAAATACATAAAGCAGTTAATAACAAACATAAAGGAGATAATGGACAGTGATACAATAATAGTAGGGGACTTTAACACCCCGCTTACATCAATGGACAGATAATCCATACAGAAAGTCAAAAAGGAAACAGGGGCTTTGAATGACACACTGGACCAGATGGATTTAACATATATTCAGACCATTCCATACTAAAACAGCAAAATACACATTCTTTTCAAGTGTACATGGAACATTCTTCAGAATAGATCATATTAGCCCACAAAACCAGCCTCAACATTTTTCTAGATATATCTCCTGAACCAAAGGAAATAACCAAGCAAAAATAAACTATTGGAACTACATCAAAATAAAAAAACTACATAGCAAAGGAAACAACCAACAAAACTAAAAGGCAACCTAGTGAATGGGGCCAGATATTTGCAAATGACATATTGGATAAAAGGTTAGTATCCAAAACATATAAAGAACTTACGAAACTCCACACCAAAAAACCCACACCAAATAATACAATTAAAAAATGGACAGAAGACATGAACAGACATTTCTCCGAAGAAGACATACAGATGGCCAATAGACACTTAAAAAGATGCTCAACATCACTTATTATCAGGGAAATGCAAATCAAAACTATAATAAAATATCTCCTCACACCAGTCAAAATGGCTAAAATCAACAACACAAGAAACAACAAATGTTGGTGAAGATATGGAGAAAAAGGAGCACTCATGCACTGTTGGTGGGAATGCAAGCTAGTGCAGCCATTATGGAAGAAGTATGGAGGTTCCTCAAAAAAATTAAAAATAGGACTACTGTATGATCTGGTAATTGCCCTACTGGGTATTTATCTAAAGAATATGAAAA